ATTGGGTTCATTTCTGGCTGATTCCAGGTTGTTCAGCTGTTCTTCTGTCACAGCTGCCGACTGAAAAGCTGCTCAGTGGTGATGACAGTTTGGGAATTTAGTGTCGTCTCATCTTCAGAGTCTGACCAAATCGGCTGTCGGTCAAATGTGATCTTAACAGTGTCCATTTTCTGTTTGTGGCAGAGTAAGAAGTAAAAACGTTCAAATGGCTTGAGCATCTCCTACAGCTGTCGAAGTCGTTGCTTAGCAACCATTTTCAGAACGCTTCTCAACCAATCAGCTAACTAACTGTAGTATAATAAACACTTTTAATCTATTTCTGTTGAAAACTTTTCTCTGCAGCATACTGCTGACCCAAAACCATATGTGTCAGAGAGGTCACTCCTGAGATGTGATCCATAATGAACTTAGCGCCATTAGTGAGTGGACATGATACAACCCGATACAATTCCCCTCAGGCGACCACAAAAGCCTGAGATACTCATCGTATAGACACTAAATACTATAACTTCAACAATGTAAAGGCAATGAATATTTGTGCGCGGGATGGAAGCTGTTTATTGTTATCTGTTTTTTGATCCCCCCCTTATCTGTGAGGCTTAAGGCAGATTTTCAAAATCCATTAATTCCTTGATGAATACGAGTTTTCCGACTTGTATGATTACAAGGGATTTGTTGTGGAAAGAAAGGGAATGTATAATAGGCTGCCTCTGCCGGCGTGCTGTGTCAAAAGTGGGAGACGGGAGTGGCTGCGTTTCAGTGATAAGGTCCGCTCCAGGCCAAGGGTGCTGTATTTCAATGCGGCGCTGTGTTTAGTACGTTTTTGTCTGCAAAGCTCACCACTGCCACTCACGCTGACCGGCCTTGATTGATGTTTCAAGGGCCCAAATCATGGAGGAATGAGTTTCGTAGATATAAATGATGTAGGTAAATGTTGTGAAGGAGAAATAGCTTGTATATCTCGGTAAGACAATCTTGATAAGATTCTGTTTCTGATTCTGATTCGGACGAATTCCCTCCACTTCTCAATCCCAGAGATGAGGATTCAGAGTTGTACTCGAGTCACATGATGATTGACACGCAACTCGATTCAGACGTGCCCCTAAATTACTCGTGACTCGGCTGAGTTGATTAAATCAGGACCACCAGCCTTAAATAGTGGGGATTTTCCACCACTTTTTCAAAATTTCTGCGTAATTAATGTCATCTGAAATATACTACACTGCAAAACAAATGATATCTTGGCAAGTGTAAACATCTCAAATGTAGTCAATAGATCTACTTTATCCAATTATGAGACTGTAATAAGAATATTGTGAGATTTTAAACTTGTTTCTAGACATTTTTTACTTGTTTTATATTTTATGAAAGTGTCTTATTTATTATGGCAGATCATGTTACTTGTTTTAAGCATTACTTCTCAAAACAAGTAAACTAATCTGCCAATAGAATAAGAATAAGACACTTTCACTAAATAAAATAATTTAAAACAAGTAAAATTGTACAGAAACAGGTGTTATATATAGAATATATATAGAAAAATCTTATAATATTCTTACTACAGATTAATAATGAGAAATATTAGAATTACTGACTACCTTTAAGAATTTTCACTTGTTAAGATATTATTTTTGCAGTGTAAAACTTGAGCTAGATTAGCTAAGAACTTTGGCTAATGACCTAGCTATCTAACCTAGCTAACTAATGTTTTTTCAAGCTTAAATATAATTCATTATTTGTCATTAACATAGTATGTGATATCTTTTTAACAAGGGAAGAAACAAAGACACAGTGTCATTGATGCGGAGCACCAAAATCTGTCTGAGCGCTAATAGCACCCCCTTGTGGAGAATCTTCAGTCTGCTAAATGTGAGCGAGTGAGTTACAAGCCATGTGGCATTTAAACTATATTTGTAGGTTTATTTTTTAAAGAATACTTGCATCCATATAGACCATCATTGAAGTTGGTCAGATATCATTGCAGACCATTATTGAAGTTGGACTCTATGTTTTAATGTCCTTCAATCCTTTTTTAACAATCCTTTACTGTGTGCAAATGTATATTTATTTCCACATTAACACTGCACGTCAGTGTAACATACAGTATAAACATTAAGTTATTAAAAATATAATAATGTCAGTTTCGCTTTTCACCCCATCACACCAAATTCACATCGTTTTGCATTAAAAATAATGTTCTGCTATATTAAATGACAAGATGAATAAGTGACATTATTTAAGCCATCAAAAGATCTATGGTTGCATGCTAAAGTTTAAACACAATTAATAACAGCCGAATTTCATATTTTGTTGGTTTTCTAAGTAAAAATAAGTTCACACATCTTAATTTTAGTGCACAGTTTCTGTTTATTTGCTAGTAAAATAATAAAGTGTGCCACAAAGTATGAACGCTCAGTATTTTAAGTTTTATTTTTAATGTTAAATTCAGCAAATAAACAGTAATTATACTTTCAAAGTTGCAGAAGTGTGTCTCTGTAGAGGACGTGTTCACTTATTTTCACTTATAAAATCAAAACATGTTATTTGACCAGAACTTTTGCACATGACTGTATGTTGAAAAGCTATGAAAAGATGTTTCACTTTTATTCAACAGTGACAAATTGTTGTTTGCTTCATCCTTCACAGGATCTGTTAAGCATACAGTCCACCCCAGCACACAAAATATCAATCACTTAATCAATCAATCAATCAATCAATCAACCTTCTTTTAAACTCAGGACATATTAAGGGAGACCCTCATTTACAATGTAGCCGAGCAATACAGACATCAGGGACATCAGGGATCAGAAATTGGGTAGTAAAAAGAAATCAAATGTTATAATGAAGTACTAAAAATCATAATAGTAAAATTTAATAATAAGAAGGTACCAATAAACTGTTAAATCAATAAACCATTACAATTACAATGTAGTAACTTAACAAGTAACAGATCAGTTAAGGATAATAAGGATAAATTAATGACCCTTGACCCTTTCGTTTCCATTCAAATCTTAACAGTGACGCAAGAGTAGAACTGTAATGCTGGCAGTACTGAATATAAGTGTGATACTATTGAATAAAGATAAATTACAAACGTTCATGTTTAGTTCAGAGAAATCATTAGGCCTCCTCTGAAGGCGTAGAAGGCCCTGAGGGTTCCCCACTGCTGTGAGGAGGTGATGGAAGACTGCGCTGTTCCTTCGGCCCAATCCAGCTCACCTCAGATTGTATCCGCACTGTACATCTGAATTTAGTGCATCTTTTAATTTGAATGCAGATTATCCAAAATAATTTGAAAATGCATTATTTTACCCAAAATTGAGCAAATAGCACATAAAAGACCAATAAAATAAATACAATTATACTTTATAAATAAAATTTTAAAAAGTCAGCCTGGGGGTGAGTATAGACCAGGGGTCTTTAATTCAAATTCAATAAGGTCCAGTTAGAGAAAATTTCCTCAAGCGAAGGTCCAGAACATCATAACGTCTAACCTGCATCATGATTCAGTGCCATATACTGTTTACTTAAGTAGTCTAGTAGTTATATCAACATCTTATACAGTCAACAACTGAATATCAAATCAAATAAAGTACAATTCAGTCATATTTCAACAACATTTATTGTCAGTTTTCTGTTCTTAGAGCACAATATGTGAAATAATCTGACTCACTTTCTTCTCCGACTGCTGTTCCTCGCCTCGTCCCTCCCCTATGTGTGCGACACTCACTCGAGTCTCAGTGCTCATCGTAATGCACAGATCTGATTGGCTGAGTAGTGTCACGTGTGATATTTACAACACATGTGATTGGTCTGTGAGTCTCACAGGCTGCTAAAGCTACCATAATGACTAGAAATGCTACGGCGATTAAAACAGGACCACCCCATCAGAATTAAATAATTCTCCATAGTTTATCGGTTATAGGTCCAGGTCCGCATAGGACAGCGTCTGGGTCCGGACTCGGACCGCGATCCGCCTATTAGTGACCTCTGGTATAGACAATATATCACTATAAACAACAGAAATCTATCTACAACCGTTTTATTTACTATCCAAACCCCCAGTGAACCTACACATGTCTTGGGATTTGTAGTTGTGGTAGATTCTATAAATAATGGTATAAATTACATATAAAAATACACAAAATTGGGAAACTAAGGGACTGTTTTGACTGACAATGCCTTGCATGTACATTTTCCACCATGAATATGTTTTGAAAAAACACATAAAATCAAACTATCATAAAAGCAAGTCTCACACTGCAGTTACACTGGTGCAGTGATGGACTCGAACACATCTCCCCTCTTCAGTTGGCTGCATATATGTGTTATGACGGGGGTCTGCGCAAAATACAAATATTTCTGTAATTAATGCTTTCTGGCATGCGTGTTTGACCAGGCGAGCCACCCAGCCTATATTATTGTTTTAGGGGTGAGTGTAGATGATATATCACTATAAACAACAGAAATAGCATCAGGGAAGGCCGTGTTGTTCCATAGGAGTCATTCGCAAACATATTAACCCAAGCTTATCCTCATAAAGACCACCGGTCACTCCTGACGCCCGGGATAGCAGCAATGAATCAAAGCCCCTAATGCCAGACAATTTATCTTTCTGCTAAAACCACAACAAGGCGGATTTCAGGGGGCGCTCTGTACCCCCTCATTTGATACAGTGAAATCAGATTTCATTTCGGCCAAAGCCAGATTAGCCAGAATCTCCTGTTCTCGCTAACACCTTTCACAAAACTGCCCAGATTAGATGGGATTTTTTTTTCAGCCACTTTATACTTTTTTTGTGCGTCTGTATGGGGGGATTATGTTTTTGTCTCCTTTCTTTAATCTATTGAGTAAATGGGGGTTTGACACCGAGCAGAGGGAGCAGAGAGAGAGAGAGAGAGAGAGAAAGAGAGAGAGAGAGAGAGTCAGTTCTATATGAAAGTGTGCTTGTCTGGAGATACCGCTCTAGTTGGTGGTCAGCGTATGAGGACAGGAGCGAGATGGACGCTGTGGAGAAAGAAGCAGGGAGGATACGGTTTGCCTTCAGCATCGACAGCATCTTGAGCGGGACGTTCGAGAGGGGGGGTGACGCCAAGGCCGAGCGCCCTCGGGGACCCTCTAAAGAGCGCCCGGATCTGGAATCCACCACAACTACAAATCCCACAGAGCCTCTGCAGCACGCCTGCCTCTGCTGCTGCTTCTGCTCGCGCTGCGGAGAGATGCTACAGGCCGACTACCTGCCCGCCACACGTAAGCCCACCTTTTTAAAGGGGAATTTCATCCGTTTATTCCAAATATCTGCAAAATTCAATGAGTGAGATGTAAACAAAGTCATTCAGAGTGGTTTGATGTGAAATGGTTCACTGTAGAGAAAATAACTGACTCAGATTTCTTTACAGTGGTGGTGATGGGAACCAGGGGTCACAATATCTATACTGTTTTATTTACTATCCAAACCCCCAGTGAACCTACACGTGTCTTGGGATTTGTAGTTGTGGTAGATTCTATAAATAATGGGAAAATGGTTATAAATTACATATAAAAATACACAAATTTGGGAAACTAAGGGACTGTTTTGACTGACAATGCCTTGCATGTACATTTTCCACCATAAATGTGTTTTGAAAAACACATTAAATCAAACTATCATAAAACTAAGTCTCACACTGCAGTTACACTGGCGCAGTGATGGACGCGAACACATCTCCCCTCTTCAGTTGGCTGCATATGACGGCGGTCTGTGCAAAATACAAATATTTCTGTAATTAATGCCTTTTTTTTTTTAAATAATCAGAAAGTAGTATGCGTTATTAAACTAATGTATGGCAAAACATTGAAATAGTCCTGAACGGATTTGGTTTTGAGATTAACACTTGCAGTCAACGTCAGTTGTTGTATTTGTAGTAGTTGTTGGAGTTTTGGAGATATAAACAAACGTGTTTCAATACATTTTTTTTAGTACAGTTTTTGCCACTGTCGCATGAGAACGTTTGATCATACAAACGTTGAACCATCTGCCTGTTGATTGGTTAAACACTTTGTGGTGGTTGAATTTATTTGTAGAAAGTTCAGCTCCACTCAACTTTTTCCACACATTTTTCCTTGATTCTGTTAACATTTTAACGATTCAGTTATGCTCTTATAATCTTTCAGTGGATGGTTGTTTAAAGAAAGAGATTCATTTTATTTTGAGTCTTAAAGAAAGGACTACAAGAATCAAATCACAAAATGACCAAAATTTTAATATTTCGGTATGATTCAGAATATGTATATATATATATATATATATATATATATATATATATATATATATATGTATGTATAATGTATGTATATATATATATCGCTGCTGTCGGAAGGAAACCTTGTACCTCTATTTTTTTAGAAAAAAAAAATTTCATAACGACAAAATATGACATCATTTTTCATTTTGGAGATACAAGGGTTTTTTCTGACAACAGCGATATGTATATATACAAATTTACATATATATATGTGTGTGTGTGTGTGTGTGTGTGTGTGTGTGTATACATACATATATATTGATATATACATTGAAAAGACACATGATGACTGAAGATATTTAGACAAAACAGCTCAGTTGTTTATTTATTTATTTATTATTTTTACATTTGAGAGGCCAAAAAAGCACATACTGTTTTGAAAATTATTATAATTGACTGTAATTGATTCTAACATTTCAAAATTGATTTAGTTGAATTGCTACGTTCACATCAATACATGGAGCATTTGTACACCCCTGATATTCTCCGTTAAACTCTTAAACTCCAAGGAGCCGCCAGCAGTTTCAGACTTTTATTCCTTACTCCAATAACTTAACTCTGCCGCACAGACTATAAGAGCATGAACACCATAAAATGTCTTGGACCTCATTATAAAATCCAAAACCGTTAAAAAAATGTGTACTGAGGTCCTTTTGGAGTGTGTTGCCTTGAGGCAACATTATGAGGCAATGGAAAGAAATGACATAGAGCTGTGTTCCCTGAAGTGGTGAGAAATATGTTTGTTGCTTCTAGGCAGCAAACATATTTCCACAAATTTTCATAAAAAAAAGATACTGAATTCCTCAGACTCTTCCCTTGTTAATCCCGTCATTGTCTTTAAATATGTATAATGTTATTGTACAGTGAGGAAAATGAGCTTGTTGCCCTGAGGCAACATCGTGCAATAGAGGGTTAAGAACAGCTCAGTCAGTTTGCATTGTTTTCCAGGTAATAACTGAATAATAAGCCTTATGATGTCATAAAAGTCTCAGAATAAAAATAAAGAGGTTAAAAATGTTCAACCGCAAAATATAACAGCAAAATGTTCAGTATTTCCAATCTTTACCTTCATTTCAGCTTCCATTCTTTTCAGGAGATTCGTTTTCAGTTTTTCAGAGAAATCAGGAATGCTGGAATATTTTTCACACCTCCAAAGTTCAGTCGTAGAAGTTGGTTACACTTCCCGCTTCAAGCAATCCAAGAAATCCCAAACACATTCAGTGATGTTGAGGTCTGGACTCTGGGGTGGTCACTCTATTGTTCTGAGAACCCCAGCAGCCTCTTTGTTTGGTGGATTGCAGTTTATCACATCGTATCGCTCTCCTTGGTTTCAGCCTGTCAGTTGGCGTGGAACAGGAGAGCACTCACAGACTCATGTCTGGCAGGAGAGGCTCAGAGAAGAGAGAGTTTCAGTCAGATCCAGAAGAGAATCCGTCGCCATCGCACCATCTTCACAGAGGAGCAGCTGGACGCTCTGGAGGAGCTGTTTCTGCAGAACCAATACCCAGACATACATACACGCGAACAGCTGGCTGAGAGGACACACCTGCGGGAAGAGAGGGTGGAGGTAACGTCTGTAAATGGGGCGATTTTTCAGTTAGAGGGAACATTCATTTCATTGCTGTTGCATTCAGTTATCTTGATAATCAAGTAATTTATTGCTTACTTGGCAGTTTTTTAAAAAGGCTAAACAATAAACAAGAACTTAACTGACTGTTTGGCTAAAAATAACCATTTATTGCCTTACAAAAATTCCAAAATACCTGAACAAAGAGTCTAAGATCGCCCTTCTTTTACTTCATTTCCACTCAAAACAGCTATCAAGTACATGTTGTTCATTTTTCAGCATCAGGAAAAAAGCAGAAAACATATACAAGCCACAAAAGTTTGGACACTGTGAAAAATGTAAATAAAAACAAAATACAATGATGTGCAAATCATTTAAAGCCTATATTTAATTGAAAATAGTACAAAGACAACATATAATTTTATTTTCTTTTTGAAAAATATTTGCCGATTTTGAATTTGATGCCAACATCACATTCCTAAAAAGTTGGGACGGGGGCTGGTAAAGTTGTGTAATGCTAAAAAAAATCACCTCGTTGTTGATTGGCAACAGGTCAGTAACATGATTTGGTATAAAAAAGCATCTCAGACTCAGAGTCTTTCAGAAGTAAAGATGAGGAGGGGTTCACCACTGTGTAAAAGACTGCATGATCAAATAGTGCAACAATTCAAGAATAACGTTTGTCAACGCAAAACAGCAAAGAACTTTTGCTTTTTATCATCTATGGTACATAATAACATTAAAAGACTCCGAGAATCTGGAGAAATCTCTGTATGTGAGGGACAAGGCCAAAAAACACTATTTGCTGGCTGTGATCTTTGGGCCTTTAGACAGCACTGCATTAAAAACAGACATGATTCTGTAGTGGAAATCACTGCATGGACTCAGAAACACTACTGAAAACACTGAAAACAGTCGCTGCATCCAGAAATGCAAATTAAAACTCTAAAACACAAAGAAGAAACTGTACATAAACAGGATTCAGAAACGCTGCCACCTTCTCTGGGCCCAAGCTCATTTAAAATGGACTGAGGCGAAGTGGGAAAAAAGTGTGTCCTCTGGGCTAAAGACCACCAGGCTTGTCCTCAGCGCACAATTCAAAAGCCAGTATTCATGATGGTATAGGGGGGCATTAGTGCACATGGCATGGGTGACCTGCACATCTGTGAAGGCACCATTAATACTGAATGATATATACATGTTTAAGCAACATATGCTGCCATCCAGATGACGTCTTTTTCAGGAAAGACCTTGATTATTTCAGCAAGACAATGACAAACCACATTCTGCATGTATTACAACAGTATTGCTCTGTATTAAAGGAGTCCGGGTGCTAAACTGACCTGTCCGCAGTCCAGACCTGATAACATTTGGTGCATTATGAAATGAAAAATATGACGGAGGAGTCCCCCGAACTGTTGACCAGCTGAAATTCTATATCAAACCAGAAGGGAAAACATTTTAGTTTCAAAACTGGAGTTGGATCTCCTCAGTTTACAGAGTGTTGTTAAAAGAAGAGGTGATGAAACACAGTGGTAAACAGGCCCCCGTCCCAACTTTTTTGGAGCGTGTTGTTGGCATGTTCAAAATGGCCATATGTTTTTCAAAAAACAATAAGATTTCTTAGTTTCAACATTTGATATGTTGTCTTTGTAGTATTTTCCTTTAAAAATATGGTTTACATGATTTGCTTATCTTTGCATCCTATTTTTATTTACATTCAGCACAGCGTCCCAACTTTTTTGGAAATGGGGTTGAATTTGACAGAAAATTCCACAACAACTAGATTGTATATTTTATTTTTAATTCAGTGTGTCCACCATTTACATTTATTACAGCTTCCAGTCTTTTCAGGTTTTCAAAGAAATCTGCAGGAATATTTTTCCACACCTCCAAAGTTCAGTCTTAGAAGCCGGTTGATCATTTTCTGAAGTAATCAAACACATTCAGTGGTGTTGAGGTCTGGACTCTGGGGTGGTCAGTCCATTGTTCAGCTTCTTTGTTTGATGTGTCCGTCTCCTTTTCTCAGTGAGGTTCTTCTTGAACAGCTACACATCCTTTCAGACCCACAGCGCTGAGTCGTCTTCTCACAGTGGAAGGATGGACAGAAACACCTGTGGATGTTTTCAGATCTGAAGCAGCTTGATTTTCTCCTCTCTTTCAGAGATGAAAGCTTTAAGTGCTGTTTATCTGATGGGGGCAGTTTTGGGGTCGACCAGATCCTGCAGGTGGTTGTTAGGAGCCCGAATTTCTCTGTAGTTTAATTATTTTTTTAAACTCCTGCTTATTTTCCTTTGATTTTCTCCTTTCTTATGCAAGTGGATCATCTTCTAAACTCCTCAGAAAATTCTCCCTCTTGTACGTAAAGGCTGTTTTGAGCGTAAACACAAAGCGCAAGTTTAATGACTGCAACACTTTGAATTACTTTATTATGGATGTAAAGTTTGTGGCTTGTTTCCTTTTTAAATCAGTAACTGAACCCTGATTGGAATTGTGTATATAATAGATATTATTACTTTTAGGTGTGGTTTAAGAATCGGAGAGCGAAGTGGAGAAGACAGAAGAGGGTACCTTTCAGTCTCCGTGGGCAGGACGAGTGGAAAAATGTGCTTCATGGTGACTGAGAAACGAGAGAACCTCCGACTAACTTATGATATTTAACCCTTGTGTGGTGTTCAGGTCTGTGGGACCCATTTTCAATGTTTACCAAAAGAAAAAATGATGTGATTTATTATTATTTCAGCCTCAGATTCTTGTCCTTTGCTCATTTTCTGTGAAGAACATATAAAATAACCCATTTTCAGTGTCTTCACTCTGTTCACCCCCCACACATTTATATTACACATGTGGTGTTGGGCTGAACCCGCGGGGAGTAAAAGTGTGGAGGTGCTGTGTCCTTCACTCTGTTCTCCTCCTACATGGCCTGCTGTTAGTGTGTGTGTGTCTGTGTGTGTATGTGTTTGTACATGTGTGTGTGTGTGTGTGTGTGTGTGTGTGTGTGTGTGTGTGTGTGTGAGGGTGGACAACATGGACAGGCGGCTGACTGGCTACAGCTGCTAAAGGAGAACCCTACTCTGGACACTTGTGATATTTTAAACATCTGGTATTTTTACATAAATTGTTGTGGCTGTATTGATTTAAAAAACAATAATGTGGTGGGTTGATGTGTTTGTTACTGAGTAACAAACACATCAACACCACACAAGGGTTAACTTAATCATTTATTTCTTTTAAAAGGCTGAAATTGCCTAAAAACACTTATTTTCCTCATCTTTGTGTTCAGTGTTGTGTTTCAGGACTGAAAGAGAATTCCACTGTGTGATTTTTGCTGACTGTTTTTATTATTATACTCATAAAGAAATACTTTGGATTCTATATTATTATTATTATTATTATTATTATTATTATTATTATTTGGTATTCTAGCATACAATATTGATGGTGAAATACTCTCAGGAGGAGCAACAGTAATGACACATGTAATGTACATGGAGTTTCTCAATAAAATGGGTTAAAAAGTAATGCTTGCTTTGGTTGCATTTTAAATGCTGCGCAACGTCTTTTTTGTCTTTTGTCACCGGCTTCAGTCCACTGCTGCACCCACAATCCCCGGAGCAGAAGGCCAGTACAACACCAATGCTAAACGTATCACTCATGTATCAAACATGTCCACTACTGAGGAGATTATTAGTTTGATCATCAAATGAGATCCTAATGCGTGGCCACGACTTAGTAAGGCGTGGGAATGAGATGATTAAGTCGTGGCCACGACTTAGTAAAGCGTGGGAACGAGATCCTAATGCGTGGCCACGACTTAGTAAGGGATGATCTCATTCCCATGCCTTACTAAGTCGTGGCCATGCATTAGGATCTCGTTCCCACACCTTACTAAGTCGTGGCCATGCATTATTTTTACTTAGACAGGATGTCATCATCAGGGCCCCGTAATTTACAGAGCCCAGCTGGTGACATCCTGTATAAATAAAAATAATGCGTGGCCACGACTTAGTAAGGTGTGGGAACGAGATCCTAATGCGTGGCCACGACTTAGTAGGGCGTGGGAACGAGATTCATGACTTAGTAAGGCGTGGGAATGAGATGATTAAGTCGTGGCCACGACTTAGTAAAGCGTGGGAACGAGATCCTAATGCGTGGCCACGACTTAGTAAGCTGTGATTTCGTTCCCCCGCCTTACTAAGTCGTGGCCACGACTTAATCATCTCATTCCCATGCCTTACTAAGTTGTGGTCACGCATTAGGATCTCGTTCCCACGCATTAATAAGGCGTGGCCATGCATTATTTTTATTTATACAGGATGTCACCAGTGGGGCTCCGTACTTATTTCCAGTACTAGTATTCCATTACCCTACGGAGCCCCACTGGTGACATCCTGTATAAATAAAAATAATGCGTGGCCACGACTTAGTAAGGCGTGGGAACGAGATCCTAATGCGTGGCCACGACTTAGTAAGCCGTGATCTCGCATTAGGATCTCGTTCCCACGCATTAGTAAGGCGTGGCCACGCATTATTTTTATTCATACAGGATGTCACCTGCGGGGCTCCGTACATTACATCCCAACCTCGCCAGTACGTCAAAACGACCACAAGTGCGCCCACAGTGGTGAGCGGATTGGGACGCAGCCATTCATTCAGCCTGTAGGGAGCAGAGGCGGTTAAAAGTTCCCTCTGTACATAACCTACAGCACAGACAACAGACAGTAAGTAAATAAGTCTCTGCCCATATCTGAGGTGTTTATAATACCTGAAATGTCCTCACTCTTCAGGAGGTACTGCTTTCTATTTACAGCAAACGGACAAAATAAAAGCTAAGCTACGAGCTTTGCTAGCTTGGCAGTAATGCGAATGAACGCTGCCGGCTAGGTGAGTTAGCGTTAGCTACAGGCTAAAGCGCGGCAGAATTAAAGCGGGGCGAACATTATTCACGTTTACTTGTAAAAATTTATTACTTGTTTCTGTTACCGAACTTCCTGGCCAGTTAGCTGTTAGTCGGCTCACTAATGTAGTCAGCTTTAGCTGCAGAAGTCGTTTTGCTAGTCAGCGAAGTCATGTTCGAATTTTCCCGTTCCACCTTAAATGGCGCAGCTACATTCAGGAGTCTCGGCGGGTTGTTGTAATGACAGCAGCGCCATTTAAGGTGGAACGGGAAAATTCGAATAAGAAGCCGACAAAAGCTGCATGCTAACCTAACGTAGCTCACCTAACGTGACAGTGTAGTGTCTGAAACCTCAACTTAACAGCTATTTTATATAAATGTCATGATAAAAGATGTAAGCAGTCGCTTTAATTCACGCCAAAAAACTATTTACTTTTTGTTGTGTTTTGGTAAAAGTCCTCTGGGATTAGCGAGCTAACGTTAGCCAGGTCAGTTCGCTCTCACTGCTGCCAGGTTAAAGGACTGAACTGAGCCGGAGTTCGTCATAATAACATAACATAACATGACGGTGGAGTTAGATATTGTTTAAGATGGTATTCTATAAAACATTTAACTTATTGGGTATTACATAATGTGTTGTTTAAACAGCTGGTAAAAAATAAAACTGAAGGATGCTGAGACTTTTTTGTTTGTTTTGGCTTCGCTTAAGTTTCGTTTCCTTCTCTCGGTAGACTTTCGGTTTGTACAGGAGCAGCTTTACTGCATGACCTCAGCTCCATCGCTCACTTACAGAACACCTGAACAGGGTTAGAGGTATGGAAGACCCAGATCTGCCAAAATGAAAAATAAATAAAATAAAAAAATTACTCAGTAAATTAGTCAATAAATAAAAATAACTAAATAAGGTATATATTGCTTATTTTGATTGTAATTATATACATATTTATACATATAAAGGTATGGAAGACCCAGATCTGCCAAAATGAAAAATAAATAAAATAAAAAAAAATGACTCAGTAAATTAATCAATAAATAAGGTATATATTGCTTATATTGATATTATATACATTATATACATATTTATACATATAAAGGTATGGAAGACCCAGATCTGCTAAAATGAAAAATAAATAAAATAAAAAAAAATGACTCAGTAAATTAATCAATAAATAAGGTATATATTGCTTATATTGATATTATATACATTATATACATATTTATACATATAAAGGTATGGAAGACCCAGATCTGCCAAAATGAAAAATAAATAAAATAAAAAAAATGACTCAGTAAATTAATCAATAAATAAGGTATATATTGCTTATATTGATATTATATACATTATATACATATTTATACATATAAAGGTATGGAAGACCCAGATCTGCCAAAATGAAAAATAAATAAAATAAAAAAAAATGACTCAGTAAATTAATCAATAAATAAAAATAACCAAATAAGGTATATATAGCTTATTTTGATATTATAAGCATATTTATGCATATAAAGGTATGAAGGACCCATATCTGCCAAAATGAAAAAATAAATAAAATAAAAAAAGACTCAGTAAATTAATCAATAAATAAGGTATATATTGCTTATATTGATATTATATACATTATATACATATTTATACATATAAAGGGATGGAGGACCCAGATCTGCTAAAATGAAAAAATGAATAAAATGAAAAAAAATAAAATTAAAAAATGACCCAGTAAGTTAATCAATAAATAAAAATAACCAAATAAGGTATATATTTCTTATATTGATATTATATACATTATATACATATTTATACATGTAAAGGTATGGAAGACCCAGATATGCCAAAATGAAAAATAAATAAAATTAAAAAATGACTCAAAATTGACTGATTTAGCTCATGATTTCATGTGAAGCTTTTAGCTGAAGTCACTGGTGTGACCCACTTTATTCTGAGGTAATTGTGAAAAAATAGAATACAAATGGATTAAATTACATATTTTAGTGGATATTCCATGATTGACAACATTGATTTTTGATGCTCTGTAGCAGTTATTTTGTAAAATGCATTGTTCATTAAAAATGTCTCTGGTGTTCCCTTTCTTATGTGTATCACCAATGAGGATCAGTAACACCAGTGACTCCTATGGATAGATAGAAAAGTGGACGTTTCTGCAGAATGACCCATTTATTTATTTCCCTATTAATTTATTTATTTTTATCTTGTCTGTATGATAATAAAGGGGCTGTCAATCAGTGATGTCGTGGTGTCTTAATATTCCTATTGGTTGATCGATATCAGACTCTGTAGATCGATTGTACATGTCTTGCTCTGTCAGGGGTAACTAAGGACAAGACAGTACAATAATGGCTGCTTACAGGCAGCAGACAGTCAGAGATCTGAGAGTCTCGGCTGATCTGGCTGAAAATGCAGTTATGTATTATTTACTCTTGCGTTGGAGGCTGTGGGGACAGTTTGCTCCATTTTGCTGATCTGCTGATACAGAGTTTGATCCCGTAGTGTTCAGAGCTTTGGAGGAGGCGGTTCATCATCTTTTTCTGCAAAATTCGGATCACACCCAGACGTTCAGACGCCCCTTTAATTTACTGCCTGTGGAAGCCAGCGGAAGTTATTTATCAGCAGGTCTGTCTGTCCGTGACGCTGCGGTTCTTTTTGGAGTGGAGTAAAAGAACAGTTTAACCAGCTCTTCTCCTCCTTCTTGATTGCTAAGCTTGAATGTGAAAACCAAGCCCCCTCATTATCATATGACCAAAGAAATACAGAAATAAATAAATGAACTAATAAAAAAAATAAATAAATGAATCAATACATAAAGTGAACAATTTTTAAAAATATACATACAGAAAAAATCTAAAAATGAACTAAGCATTGATAAAAAAATGATAATACAGAAATAAATAATTTGAGAGATATACATATGCAGAAAAAGGAAATATATATATAATTACAATCAAAATAAGTAATAAATACCATATTTAGTTATTTTTACTTATTGATTAATTTACTGAGTCATTTTTTATTATTTATTTTTCATTTTGGCTGATCTGGGCCACCATAAAAGGGAAATTTAAAAATTAAAATATAATTATTTATTATAATAAAAATTAAATAATTCAGTGCTTGAGACGTAAACAGAGTCATTCAGAGGGGTTTGGTGTGAAATGGTTCACTGTAGAGAAACTTACCGCCTCTGATTTCTTTACAGTGGTGATAGGAACCAGGGGTCACCATGACTACAACACACATGTAGACATTTTATTTACTATCCAAAACCACCAGTGAACCTACACAAGTCTTCTGCAATTTTACACGAGTCTTCTGAGATTTTATATGCAATGATTTATATGCAATATCTCCAGCATCAGGCAGTGTATTCATAACCTTTTCATGTTCTGTGAGGGAGCTTTTAGAGGTGGACGTCTGGTTCCTATCACCACCACTGTGAACAATTCCGACTCCATACGTTTCTCTAAAACAGAGCATTTCACACCAAACCACTCTGAATGACTCTTTAACATCTTAACTGTTTAATTATATAGAAATTGTGAAAAAGTGGTGGAGTTCCCCTTTGTTATGCTGCGTAGTCCAAGACTAGTCTTAAATGCTTTACTAGGGAACTGATCATGTATATCCAGCGATTCTTCTGAAATGAAGGGTATTAATAGGGAGTTCGCTGCTGACTCTGCTATTCAGGGAAGGCTTTACACTAGATGTTGGAACATTGCTGTGAGGATTTGTTTGCATCCAGCCACAAGAGCATTAGTGAGGCCAGGTAAAGATGCTGGATAATCAGTTCTGGATCAGCTCATCCCAAATGTATTGGATGGAGCTCAGTCATGCCAGAGCCTGCTCCACGGCCCAGTGCTGAGGGGCTTTATACCCCTCTAGCTTTCACTTTTCATTCAGCATGGTGACCTAAGGCTCATGTCCGGCTGCTCCAGAGTGTCCCATTCTATTGGTCAGTGCTTTTCTGTGGAAATTATGCAAGCTGAATACCAGTGTCAGCAATTGGTGCACCTAAAATTAGCTGATGTCACTGATTAGAAGGTGTCTGGATACGTTTAGACAAAACAGTGTCTTTGTACCTTATTGTCATTCAGTATCTGTGACTTGTGGCATCAGGCTGCAGTGATCTGGTGTAACAGAGCCTCTTTTAATAAGAAAGCTGCCATGGTTTAAACTGTATCTGTGAATCTTCTTTCTTTTCTCCTTTTTCCTTAGAAGGTGACATGTCCCGACCGAGCACTGGCTCCCACAAAGCCAACATGAACTCATCTAAGCAGTCTAGTTCACTGAAGGCAAAAGGACTGAAAGACATCAGGATTGATGAAGAGGTTAAAATTGCTGTGAACGTAGCTCTGCAGAGGTTCCAGTACAGTGAACAGAAAGGTGCGTATAAATGTGTGTTATAGAAGTAAAGCCAGAAGGAAACACATTATTATTAATATACACCAATCAGGCATAACATTATGACCACCTCCTTGTTTCTACGCTCACTGTCCATTTTATCAGCTCCACTTACTATATAGGTGCACTTTGTAGTTCTACAGTTACAGACTGTAGTCCATCTGTTTCTCTGCATACTTTGTTAGCCCCCTTTTACCCTGTTCTTCAGTGGTCAGGACCCCTATGGACCCTCACAGAGCAGGTACTATTTGGGTGGTGGGTCATTCTCAGCACTGCAGTAACACTGATATGGTGGTGGTGTGTTAGTGTGTGTTGCGCTGGTCTGAGTGGATCAGACAGCAGTGCTGCTGGAGTTTTTAAACATTGTGTCCACTCCCTGTCCACTCTATTAGACAGTCCACCTTGTAGATGTAAAGTCAGAGACGATAGCTCATCTGCTGATGGAAAGTTTGTGTTGGTCATTCTCTCGTCCTTCATCAGTGGTCACAGGACGCTGCCCACAGGATGCTGTTGGCTGGATATTTTTGGTTGGTGGACTATTCTCAGTCCAGCAGTGACACTGAGGTGTTTAAAAACTCCAGCAGCACTGCTGAGTCTGATCCACTCAGACCAGCACAACACACACTAACACACCACCACCACGTCAGTGTTACTGCAGTGCTGAGAATGATCCACCACCCAAATAGTACCTGCTCTGTGAGGGTCCATGGGGGTCCTGACCACTGAAGAACAGGGTAAAAGGGGGCTAACAAAGTATCAGAGAAACAGATGGACTACAGTCTGTAACTGTAGAACTACAAAGTGCACCTATATAGTAAGTGGAGCTGATAAAATGGACAATGAGCGTAGAAACAAGGAGGTGGTCATAATGTTATGCCTGGTAGACAACAAAGCACTTTTTGTAAGTGGAATAATTGAAATTTCTTTCTCATAGAAATGGAGTTTCCTTCATCACTAACCAGCACAGAGAGAGCTTTTATACATCGCCTTGCTCAGTCCTTGGGCTACATTTCAAAAAGCAGAGGGTAGGTGTAAAAAAACATTCATTATAGTGGTGAATTATGTCAAATGAGTGTTATCAGTACTTGTAGAACACTGAACCACTACATGGAAGACAGATTTAGACTAATTATAGAAAGCTTGTTTGCAGCAACAACCAGTGTATAGTAAGTGCCTAAGCTGTGTGCTAGCAAGCAACTGATTGGATACCGTTGGGTCTTATTTTATTCATTTGTTTCTACAGATTGTTTCATGACTATGATGCTCTATTTTCGTCACCCTTATATTGAGGTATATGAACTATGCACATGTACTGTGTCATTACAGTAAAGGCTCAAACCGGTTTCTCACCATACGGAAGAAGGATGGCTCTGAGGCAGCTCAGTCCATTATGACGTTTAACTTTGCTGCTAACTCCAAGCATGTGGTGCGAAGCCTGCTGCAGAGGTTTCCAGTCACCAATAAAGAACGCACTGAACTGCTTCCGCGCACTGAGAGGGGGCTGTCTGTTTCATTAGAAGCTGGCGGTGAGCACTTTTTCCCTGTTATTTTGTTTTTTTTGGATCTGGTATGAGGGGATATTGCATCATTTCAGCTCTGGAGTATAGTATTGATCCGTCTGTGTCGAGCTTTTGTCCAGAGTAATGCCTTTTCGAACTGGATTAGTTTTACCAGGGCATTTGTCATTTCTCAGGGATTTGACTGGCTGATTTGTACAGGATAAAGCATCTGTGTAATTCCAAATTCCCAGAGGTAGCCTGGATTATCTGTACCAGCATTTCATCACAAGAAACACTCAATGACAATAACAACACACCGCACAGCCATGATTTTCTTATTCAGGTAGCTTGGATTGGAACAAGACTACTGTTACTGAGGGAGCATCCAATTAGAGAAGACCATTCATTCCACTGTAAAACACTAGACACACTGGAGATTCATACTGGATTAAAATCACTCCACAATTATTACTGTCAGACTGTAAAACTACACACACTGCAGATTCATACTGGATTAAAATCGCTCCACAATTATTACTGTCAGACTGTAAAACTACACACACTGCAGATTCATACTGGATTAAAATCACTCACAGTTATTACTGTCAGACTGTAAAACTACACACACTGCAGATTCATACTGGATTAAAATCACTCCACAATTATTACAGTCAGACTGTAAAACTACACACACTGCAGATTCATACTGGATTAAAATCACAGATCTCACTAATAATTACTTAAATTACGGTGCCTCCCCAAGTAAAACATATCCAGCCATTTATTGTTATCCCCCTTCAGATAGCATGCGAGACAAGAACAGGACCAGCGGCAGGCTGAATAATGGTATTCCTCAAGTGCCTCAGAAGAGAGGACCATCTGAACTGGAATGCTTTCGGCGGGCTCTGCCTGTCTTTGAGCGCCAGGAGGAGATAGTGGCAACCATCAAGGAAAACCAGGTGGTCCTGGTAGTGGGCGAGACAGGCTCAGGCAAAACCACCCAGGTAAGGCCTTAATAAGTGCTCTGCGTTGCTTTTTCGTCAAGCTCCCGTATTGTTTTTAGCTTGATCAAGGCTGTAATTGCACCAGTATGTACAGTATGTTAGCTTGAAAAAGTGTGCAGATATTTACTCGTCTTTTTTTTCCCTGCCTTTGTATTGTGTCCTGCACTTCTATACAGTTCTGGTGGGATATGCACATTCCTCTTCAGCAGGGGTGTCAAACTCACCCACTAAAAGGGCCGTATTAAAAAATCTCGGCACATCTGTGGGCCAGCTGTGCTTTTGTTTCATTTTTACTTAACATTTTGCCATGACCCGAACTGGACATTGCTTATTCAGTATATGACAAAACTGCAGAATAGGCATAGAATACTTATGTTAAAAATGACCGCACATAAATAAATTGTTTTAGGTGGTTCTTTTAAAACTCCTATTTGCTTGAATTAGACACCAGGCATCTCTTCTTTTTGTGTAACCGCTGGCCCACAGATCGTTGTTTGGGAAAGAGGGTCAGAACGCACACTATGTTGCAGTGCATACTGGGGACTATAGTGCATCTCAGGGTGAAACGGCCTAATAATAGTGGAAATTGAAATAATTTTGCAGGCCAAATAGGACTCTGTTGCGGGCCTGTGGGCTCGTGGGCCTTGTGTTTGACACATAGGCTCTACAGTTTTATTGCTTCAGAAAGAAAACAATTTTGCTTTAAAAAAAAAACATTTATTTACATTTTGTGGTGAATAGTGTGAACAATATTAATAATAGAAAAAAATATGGTAACACTTTCTATGAATGTCACGTTTGTAAGCATCTATAGACACATTTATAACATGTTATAATGCCTTCATACGGCGTTATAAACATGATTATAAACATTTATAAAAATGAATTACACTGGATTACACTTTATATCCATGTTTATTATACGTTATGAATTGTTAATATAGTACATTATAAATAGCGTTGAGAACATGTTATACTGTCATTGACAAAGAAGTCAGTCCCAGCTTGGAGAGCGTAAAGACAAATACCAAGCTAACGGTGGTGAACATTACCTTTCCCACATTGGGTAAAACACTGATGGCAGCTCTAGTTTAAACTCTGACATTTGAAGCCTGTAATGTGCTTTACTGTGAATGTTTTAGTGTTTCAGTAAATCCTTCAGTAAATACTTCAACTTGAAGCCTCACTCTGAACACTGGAGGAGGCTTTAGTACAGCACGCTTCACTTTACTTAGAGCGGACAAATACGACTTATGAGCTCTTATAATTTGTTATGAACCGTACTTCTAATGTATTATGTTAACAATTCATAATGCATAATAAACATGGCTATAACGTGTAATGCATTTTTATAAATATTTATAGCCATGTTTATAATGCCTTATGAATGCATTATAACATGTTATGAATGTGTTTATAGATGCTTACAAAGGTGACATTCATAGAAAGTGTTACCAAAAATGTTTATAGAAAAAATAATAGGTATTAAAATTTAGTTTGTTCTTAACTCTTTATCCGTAGTTGTCGGCCACGTTATCCTTTTATTAGAAAATAGCCTCCTGTTGAAATTATAGGGGTGGGGCTTAGTTTTTGTTATAGCTTTGGCCGACAGGATTACACAGAGTTTCATAAGATACTGTACAGCCAAACTAAATCTGTCTCGGTTCTGTTTTTTTAGATCCCACAGTTCTTGCTGGACGACTGCAGCAGGAAAGGAACACCGTGCCGAATCTTCTGCACACAGCCCAGAAGGCTGGCAGCCATTGCTGTGGCAGAGCGCGTGGCTGCAGAGAGAGGAGAAAGTGTTGGCCAGACTATTGGCTACCAGATCCGCCTGGAGAGCAGGTAGAAAGTGTGGTGAAATTTGCAGTTTCGTGATGCGTTGAATCATTTTCTGCAGAATTCTAATCGAAGCAAATCTTAGTGTAGTCAAATATTTACACTCCTAGTAGGGACGGACTTCTTCCTTTCTGATATTGATGCCGAGATCGATACCAACTCTTAGTATCTGGAGAAGCCTGTAAATCCTAATATTTATACAGTTCCCCTTTTAAGTATTTTATTTTGGTAAAAGCAATGTTATAAATATAAATTAAAATATTTAATAATAAGAACCAACTGAAATAAATGAAAGAATATATAATATTTCTCTCATATATCTCTAATATATATCTAATACTATCTCAGACTGTAACTGACTGTACAGCTGAGGGATTACTAAAAGACGTCTCAGCGATTCAGATAAAGCGCTACACTTAATGCATTTTGTACTTCATGTATGTTGCGTTATCTGGCTCCCCCCCCCCCTTAAAAGACATTACAGATTTTGCCATGAGCATTTTGCCTACTGCTCGTCATCCCACACCTTGTACATGCTTGCTTTTGGCCCAATCCCATTTCTTATTTTTACCCCTACCCCTTGTTTTCAAGTGTCACCTTGCCTCTTGGACCTAAGTCACAAGGGGTAGTGGTTGATATCTTCCCATACGAAATGGGACCCTCAAATACTTCATTAACAGCTACTAGCACTGCTCTGTAGGCGACCCTGCCAGTCTGCAGTGACAGCAGAGGAGGGTAAAGTTCAGCTCCTCACTGCTGGGCTTTAGTTACATTTAGGGCATCATATGCCTTCAAAGAGGGGGATACAATAATTATTTATTATCACCCACCACTGATTCTTCAGTGATTTGAAGCTGAAGTCAGATATTCACCAGCTTCTCGTTCGAATTTTCCTGTTGCACCTTAAATGGTGCAGCAGTTACATTCTGACGCCCGAGACACCAGAATTTAAGGCGGAACGGGAAATTTAGACAGCTAGCTACCGAGACATCAGCATATTACTTGCTTTTATGCTTATTATGAAGAAAAGGACCATAATACATTAAAATGGCATTAACCTACAATGATACAGTGGTTAGTGTAATTTTTTTAATTGAGAAAATACTCAAATTTGTGGGTCTCTTTGGTCGCTTGTGCAGCCATCTTGACAGTTTTTCTTTTTTTCTCATATCACTCTGCTTGGAGTCTCTGAAAAACCTCAGTTTGGAGGGTCATGTAGGCCTAACACTTCACCCTCCCCCTCTATCTCAACACAAATTAGGACACCCTACCCCTAGACGTGAATGCGCAAAACGGAGGGGTGAGGGCTAAGTGGTAGGGGCGAGGGGTGAAACGGGACTGGGCCTTAGTTCTGTCTACTGGTGCACATGCGTATGTCACTTAGTAGCATGCGTGCTTGTTGGAAACTCATTTATTGTGTCACCAATATGATACTGAGTTCAAGCGCCAGTATCCAGTAACCCCCTACTCCTCAATAAACATTAAGAAAAGATTTAAATTTAGATTGGTTTACAGACACTGCGTATATTTTTCCTAGCTTCATCAAACAACCCCATGATTAGTCAGTACCTTGGCTGCCATGTTAAATAAGTGCAGAATTTGTTATTTAGAGAAGGTTAATCACGAGGAAAGCTGTGTGAATGTGTGGGAGAAGGACGGAGCTGGTTTGAAGCTCTTATAATGCAGTGGTAAAGACTTTCACACAGTCCTAATCTAATTTGTTTTGTAGAGTTTCCCCCAAAACCTTGCTTACATTCTGCACAAGTGGAGTGCTGCTCAGAACCCTGATGGCTGGAGATGCCACCCTCTCTACTGTCACACACGTCATCGTGGTAAGCATGTATTTTATTAACCTCTTTAACTCCTTGGGACCACCGGTGGTTCCAAAACACACTTAGTCATATTCTTTACTTCATAACTTTCATATTTCATAAGCTACATTCAAAAGGTGGGGGTCGTATGAGAGCTGTAACTGTCTTCTTTCCAGTCAAGTAGATGTGTATATACATATATATATATATATATATATAGGTGCACTTTGTAGTTCTGCAGTTACAGACTGTAGTCCATCTGTTTCTCTGCATACTTGTGCTGGTGCGAGTGGATCAGACACAGCAGTGCTGCTGGAGTTTTCAAACACTGTGTCCACTCCCTGTCCACTCTATTAGACACTCCTACCTTGTCTGTCCACCTTGTAGATGTAAAGTCAGAGACGATAGCTCATCTGCTGCTGCACAGTTTGTGTTGGTCATCCTCTAGTCCTTCATCAGTGGTCACAGGACGCTGCCCACAGGACTCTGTTGGCTGGATATTTTTGGTTGGTGGACTATTCTCAGTCCAGCAGTGACACTGAGGTGTTTAAAACCTCCAGCAGCACTGCTGTGTCTGATCCACTCAGACCAACGCAACACACACTAACACACCACCACCACATCAGTGTTACTGCAGTGCTGAGAATGATCCACCACCCAAATAGTACCTGCTCTGTGAGGGTCACCATACCATTTGATTGCACAAAGCCCTGTATTACCTTCGCTGACACTGCTCCCTTTTCTGACCGACTGTTTCCTTGGCTTTCCTCCCTGCAGGACGAGGTCCACGAGCGGGACGGCCTGACGGACTTCCTCCTCACCAAGATGCGGGACATGCTGCAAAAAATGCCCTCTCTGAAGCTCATCCTGTCCAGCGCTGCCTTGGATGTGGACCTTTTCATCAGATACTTTGGCAAATGCCCCATCATTTACAGTGAGTACAAAGAAGAGCAGTGCTAAACAAACATGTACTACATCTGGTTTACAAGGAATCAGGAAGCAAGATTAATTTATGTCTTATGTTCAAGTCAAAGGACGTCCATTTGAAGTCAAACAGCTCTTTCTGGAGGACATCTTGCGGACCACAGGCTACATGAGCAAAGACATGATGAAATATAAGAAGGAGATGCAAAAAGGTGAGATCGGTTACTCAGTCCTGTGCTTATCGAAACTGTTGTCTGCTTCCTTCAGTTAGACTTTCAGTAGCTTCAAATTTAGACTGATTGCACGTTGGGGCTACATGGCAGAAATATAATCTCGCAGACATTTTCACAGTCATCATATCATGATATTCAGTTTTTCTGTGGTTTGAGTTGGTACAGACACAAAAGAAAGCCCTACAAGTGCAATACTTAATAAAATACTGTAGTTTATAATTAAAGTGTTATTGTTTTTTAGTTTTTACGATATCCATGATATGCTCAGAAAATCATATTGCTACGAATTTTATGTATATATATATATATATATATATATATATATATTGTGTATATATATAAGTAATTGTATTATATATAATATGAAATATATATTATATTACAATTTCCCTTCGGGATCAATAAAGTTCTATCTGTCTATCTATCTATAACAATGATAAAATATTGTCATATTTCCCGCCTCCAATTGCAAATATGTCCTCAAACTGTTCCCCTACTAAATCAAGTATCGAATCATGTTGTGAGGCACTTCAGCATCAGGGCTTTTGGAAGAAGTAGTTGGCTGTAAAAGTAGTTGGGCTTCAATCAGTTATGATATTAATAGAGTACTCCGCCGATTATATGACAAGATTTTTTTTCAAGCAAATGGACAAAAAATTGACTCAACTGAGCTTCGCTGAGAAGATAATTAACTCTGATCAGCTCTCAGCTTCATTATTAGAGCGAGACGAAGGTGAAAAAGGTGAGATGAGCTGCTTTTCCACCGTTTACAGGCTTTAACTTCTGTTCGGCGCTGCTGCCATGGTAACGCTGAATGATGGTCACGCGCAGTGGGGAAAAAAGGCACACGAATTCTGATCTGAGCGTCACATTAAGGTTGCATGGCCACAAATCGGATACGTATCCGATCTAGGACCACATATGAAAGTGGCTCAGGTCTGATTTGAAAAGATCAGATTTGTGTCCACACAGCCCTGAAAACATCAGATCTGAGTCACATTAGGGCAAAAAATCGGATTTGTGCCACTTCAACCTGCTAATGTGAACATAGTCTAATATTGTAAGAGAGGCCAGTAAGAGAATTGAATACATGCATTACCGACATGCAGCTGTGCTCCCCTTTGTAAGCAGTATGTCTGATATTGCGTGTGTGTGTGTGTGTGTGTCAGAGGAGAAGCGGCAGACGTCTCTTACTGAGTGGTGTGAGGTAAAGGAGGGAGTTTCTCGGCCTGAGCCTCAGAGGGACAAGCCGCCTGCCTGCATCCTACAGGAGAACGACCTGCTGGATGATGGAGGGGAGAGCGTCTTCAGCCAGCTGGTAATTCTACAGCTAGCTTGAGTCTTTTGTGATCATGAATGCAAGTTTATAGCAGTCTAACCACAATGCTGTATCATTCAGGGCTAGGCTAGAGGATGACTGTCATAAATTGGGCGTAGAAAATAATAAAAAATAATGTTTAATTGTATTCCTACAATGGAACCGACAAGGTGGGTGTGTCTAACTAGCACTACCATGTCAGTGTCACTGCTGTGAGAGAATGGTTCACCACTCAAATACCAATTGGTACAAGGGAACCGACATGGTACCACTACCATGTCACTGGCTGTGTTTACATGCAAAGATTTTTGCCAAGCCGATTGAATACATTCTGATTACAGATTAAGACTGAGGTGTTTATATCTAACTCTACTCAACAATCTGATAGAAAATCTTCATTTACGTGTACACTACACTTAATCAGATCCAAAATTAAAAGTGTAGAGAACCGCTTAGTGAAGACGTTACCATGACAACCAGCATCACGTGAGTCCAGTCAGACTCAGGAAAACGTCCTTCACGTGTCCTTATTAAAGAAGGCCGAGAGGAAGACGTCGTGTTCTGAGACACATAAGCTGGACGTCCGTCCCACCGCCGTCTTTTAAAGATCAGAGCATAAACTTCGTCTCCTCTGCAGACCAGTTTCTGCTCCGCCATGTTGAGCGTCATAAACTGCCACTATGACGCGACGAACATGATCAGAACGTACTTAAACTTTGTGATAGGGAATGTAATCAGATACAGGCGTTTACACGGATATTATTCTTCTATTTAACGGATTATTTACAGGATTACCCACCTCGATCAGTCGGATAGAAAATGTATTCCGAATGGCCTCAATCGGACTAGACTATTTAAATTGATGTGTTTACATGGACGGATTCAATTCTGATTGGGCTATTAGTTGGATTAATAACGGATTATCAGGCTGCATGTGAACGTGGCTGGTGTCACTGCTGTGAGAGAATAGTCCACCACCCAAATAATAATTGGTACAGCAGTGATGCTATGGTGGTCCTTTCCTGTTGATGGGCGAGGTAGAGGGGCCTGATAAATGGTGTAGCAGCAGATGAGGCTACAGTCAGTAATTGTAAGTCTATAAAGTGCACTTATATGTTATGTGTTTCTGATAAAATGGCCAGAGAATGTAGATACAAGTTAGGTGGAGCTGATAAACTGGCGGGTCAGTGTGATTAAACAGTGACTTGTGAGCATGTATTGATTGAGAGCTAGGGCTGAAAGATTAATCGTTTTTATATCGAAATCGCAATATAAGACGGTGCAATTTTCAAATCGTAAGAGCTGCGATATTATAGCCTACACTCTTAAAAAAGATGGTTATTCAAGGTTCTTTAAAACGATAGTTCTTCAGTAAAGACAATCATTTTATATAGAATGCATTTGCATGTTTAAATGGTTCTTTGCATGGCGAAATCGTTCTTCAGGTTGCAGGAAAATGTGTTGTATATGGTTCTACACAGCACCAAAAAGCGTTCTTCTATTGTTACAATGTCAAGTTTGTAACAGTAGAAGACCATGTTGGTGCTGTATAGAACCCTTTTCACAAATGTGCTATATAGAACAATATACAACTCAATGTCCATAAATTTAAAGAACCGTTTCATCATGCAAGGAACTTTTTAAGCATGCGAGTGAGGCACTGAGTGTTTATGGTTCTGTATAGAGCCATTATCTTTACTAAAGAACCCTTGAAGTACCATCTTTTGTAAAGTGTGTACATTAGCAGAAATGTTTTAAGGTTGGAAATTGAACCTAATAAGAGTTTGTGAAATGCCTGTAGGTGAGTTAGACCAATCAGAGGCAACCACACCTCCACGTGTTGTGACATCACAACCACAACTTACTGGCAGTCTGGCACACTGCATTCAGGGTCAAGCCTCAAGCTAGAAAAGGTGGCTATTCTGGTCTTTTTGGCCAAATTAAATCATATTTTCCCCAAATCGTTCAGGCCTACTCAGAGCTCAGGTACAAAGTGCTGTAATTGATCAGTCAGTAGGTCCAAACTAGGGCTGGACAAAATACTAGTACTGCAGTTATTTTGCTGCATGTTAACACTGTAGTATGCCTTTCCATGTACTTAAAAACATTAGTGACCCAATAATTTGACATGGTTAAAGCACTCACAAGCACAAGCTCTTTGTATATAGAATGAGAAGGACGTGGCCTCGTTGGAGCCGTGGCTGCTGAAGGAAATGGACACTTGCATCTCGGACATCTTCCTGGAGCAGGACGCTGATGCCTTCATCCAGCTTTTTAACCTCATTCTCAATGAGAACATCAGTGGTAAGGAACTTCTACTCATTCTACAGGGAGATTCACTCGAAAGAGGCCCCGAATATTCTGTAATAACTCTCGCTAGGACGAAGCAATCTGAACGAAACAACGTGCACCGTGCTCCTCAGTATATGGAGCTTCAAACAAGCCGGGATGTCCCGCATCCGAGTGATGAGGGAGGCGCCGGACAGCCGCCGCGACATTTAACCTCCATTTGCAACTTCCGGGTGCATACCCCTGTACCCCTTCATGTGTCTGGCAGAAAACAGAGATCACTTCCAGCATTGCATGTAATGCAATTGATTACACATACGTTAAGGTATGTAGCATATTTTTTGGTTCAGATTGCTTCATCCTAACGGGAGTTACAACAGAATATTTGGGGCCTCTTTCGAGTGAATCTCCGTGTATAATCAGCTTTACAAAATAGTAAATAGTAAATAGTTCCGGTCTTAAAATCTGATTGGCTGAGCCGTGTTCAAAGCCGTCGTAAATTCCACAACAAAGGCACACCTATGACCTCCTCACAGCAACTGAATTGTATGTAACTACGCCACAGCATGAAAAACTCTTGCGCTAGGGCTCCAGAGTGGCGCAACCATCTAAGCGTTGGCCCTGTCGTCAGGAGATCACAAGTTCAGTCCCTGGTGATGCTACAGCCGTCCGTGGCCGGGAGTCCAAGAGAGCACAATTGGCCTCGCTCTCTCATAGCCTTAGTTGTAGCTACAGGAGTGGACAAAATAAGTTCCATCAGAATATATTTCCAATTTTTACTTTTAAACATCCAGTGACCTCAACATTGCAGTTTCCAACCAATGAGTGTCTGTCATCATATACTCAGTCTGTGATAGTAGCCTCTTGCTCTTGTTCATACAGCTTATGGATTCTCCTTAGACTGGAGGCTCTCCGGGGAACTGGAGCTTTCCGCTTGTCTGGTTTTTGTTAGCTTGTTGCTTGCTGATTTATCCATAGGTATACTGCGAGAACTATCCACTGCAGTCTGCTGAAAGTGCTGCAAGTGTCCCTTTCAGTGCTGTTTAAAAGCTGGATTAGTATAAGAGGGCTACAGTTGTGGCTTCTATCATACTAACATACAACATGCTGCAGCTGAGCTTCAGCCTGCACAACTACAGACAGTCTGAAGAGTCAAACTAAGAAAATCCTTTAGATGTTAACAAGAATTAACTTGTTCATTTTGACAGCCGTTATAATAGCACCGCATTAGTAGAAACATTTTAATGCACTCTAATAGCGTCTCCCTTTTCTGCTTGTCTCAGTTGACTACAGGCACAGTGAGACAAGTGCCACTCCACTGATGGTGGCTGCAGGAAGAGGCTTCATCAGCCAGATGGAGCAGCTCCTCAGCATGGGAGCCAGTGTGCACATCAAAGCCTCCAATAGCTGGTGAGAACACAACAACCTGACGAGTTTGGGCACCGTCATAGCGCTTTCTTTCACCTGTTACGGGATCTAAAACTCCAGTTCTGGTTTTCGTTTATTTACACACGCAGCAGTTGGCTATCCTGTGAGTGACTCACACTAATGCACTGCTACACAGAGAAAACGCCATTAGACACAGTATTTTTAATTGTTTATGAAGAGCGCATGCATTTTTTTTTACACACTTTCATTTAACACTCTTGCGATGAAGAGGAAGAAGCGTGTATTCTAATGTAGTCTGCTTACTTGTGGGAAGTAGTAGTGACAAAGCTGTCAGTGCGACCTCTGGGAGCTTTAATTAGTCATCCGTGAGCACTAATCTGTACTTTTTCTGAATGTTTCATACTGAATGTTATTGGAAGATATCTGTGGTTTTATTTATTGAAAGTAGAAATATTTACTGATTTAATTTTTTTTAATGGAGATGCCTTAATATATGACATAAAGAAAAAATGGATAAGGTAAAGTGGTGATAATTTACACAAATTGCTTGCTTGTGGGACTGTACTGCATTGGAAACACTGCATTTTATCAGTGTGCAAACAGTTTGTTACTTGCTGTAAGTAGGGGTTGGCAATATGAAGATATTCTATCAGTATCATGATCATTTTTATCATGATGCACAATTTTTTTTTTCTTTTATTTATTTGAGGAAACAAATACATCAAGACGAGTAGAGGTGGAGAGGGGGAAAATGTATTTATAGTGCATAAAATACAAAAGAAAAGAGTTCCATTTAGCATAAAGTGCAGCAGTATTACCTTTTATTGTGAAACTTATCTTCTCCAATTTAAGAAAATGCATAACATCACGGAGCCATAATGCAATTGAAGGTGGTTTCGAGGATTTCCACAATAATAAAATACGACGTCTCGCTAATAAAGATGTGAATGCAAGGATATCCGAACTGGACTCCAGTGGGTGGGGGCAAATCAGTGGAAAATCCAAATATTGCAACAGAGGGATTCATACTAACATTGAAACCTAAAACCTTTGTCATTATCTGAAAATAGTCAGACCAAAGTTTGTGTAGAGAAGGGCAAAAAAAATACGTATGACTTAGGTTACATAGGGTAGCTTCACATTTACCACACTGATCGCTGACATTTGGATGGAATTTAGATAAATGAGACTTGGACCGATGAACTCAGCTGAAGCCTTGCACAGGGAACTCTTGAACGTACTTTATATATGGCTTTGTCCGACCATTGCTCCGTAAAAATAGAGCCCAGCTCATGTTCCCAAGCACTTTTAATCTTAGGGGAGAAAACGTCTATACAAATTGCTTTTCTAAGCATATTGTGGGTATCGTGAGCACCTAAAGATTGACCCAAGCACTTACCAACTGCATGTTTCATTAACAAAAGAGCATAATTAGGCCTGTTTAATTGGATTTAGTGCAGAGCAGGATATGAAATGTGTGTGTCAAAATATCGTGATACGTGTTGTGAAATTATTGTGAATTTTTTTGTTTGTTTGTTTGAACATATCACCCCCCCGGCTGTAAGTAAAGAGTTACTCTGTCCCTTTTTACAGGACTGCGCTTGACTGGGCCAGACACTTTAACCAGACCGAGGCGGTGGATCTTCTGGAGTCGCATATGTGAGCACATAAATTAATTAATCCACATGTCTAGAGCTTAATTAATGTAATTTATACAACAGTTAGTTCCGGCCACGCAAGCTGATTGCTGATTTTTCACAAACACTGTATCACTCCGCTGAGACGCCGTTGCTAAGCAACAACTTTGACAGCTGTAGGAGACGCTCAAGCCATTTGAACGTTTTTGCTTCTTACTTTGCCACAAACAGAAAATGGACACTTTTAAGATCACATTTGACCGACAGCTGATTTGGTCAGACTCTGAAGATGAGACGACACTAAACTCCCAAACTGTCGTCACCACTGAGCAGCTTTTCAGTCGGCAGCTGTGACAGAAGAACCTAAACAACCTGGAATCAGCCAGAAATGAACCCAACACCATTCGCCAAACAAAACAGGCTGTAAGATGCTTTACAGACTGGCTGGAACAAAACAACATTAATACTGATCTGGCAAAAACTGACAAAACTGAGCTAAACTTGATATTGCGGCAGTTTTATGGCTCAGTCTGATTTGGTCAGACTCTGAAGATCAGACTACACGTTTGGCGAATGGTATTGGGTTCCTTTCTGGCTGATTCCAGGTTGTTTAGCTGTTCTTCTGTCACAGCTGCCGACTGAAAAGCTGCTCAGTGGTGATGACAGTTTGGGAATTTAGCGTAAGGAGCTGGAGAACGAACTGCCGGCTGTGCAGCGAGTGGGCGGAGTTCGTTACTCTGACGTAGCAACAAGCTGCTTGTTAAGAAACTATAATTTGGTGAAGGAACTGCGAACATTAAAACATATTAAACGCCGCGTTCACGGCCCAGTTTATTAATTTATTACTCTATTTATTTAACTGTTGTATAAAAGCAATAGAACACTCGAGGAGTGTGTTATCACGAATAACATCACCGCTGTGATTATCTACGGCGACCAAATCACAGCTGTGATGTTATTTCGCAATAACACACTCCCTTTTGTGTTCTATTGCTTAATTACATACTTGATTTAGTGTTCCTTGTAAAATATCAGGCCTGAAACCAACAGGTCTGTGATCCATTAATCTCTTGACTGGCTAATTGGCTAAACACCCTCTATATATACACACACTAAATGGTCTAAAATAGCATGAAGTGTGAAGAAAATATGCACACAGGTAGAAGAAGAAGCAGCTTTTTGGTGCTGAACTGGAAAAGTGGTATATCCTGTTTCTCCCGTGTCCCTGTAGCTCCTCTCTGGAGGCAGGCCAGCTGGACGAGTCGTCGCTGGTGCAGTCGTCTAGTGGTGAGCTGAGTGCTGAGGACCAGGAGCTGCTGAAGGCCTACCACCACAGCTTTGATGATGAGAAGGTGGACCTGGATCTCATCATGCATCTTCTCTACAACATCTGCCAAAGCTCTGATGAAGGTGAGAGAGGGATGAATTTGTAAAATAGTGAAGACGAGGATGCAAATGTGATGCAAAACAGCTTTAGATCACTATTTTGGACCATGACTGGCAATAGTGGAGCAGGGGGATTGGATAATAAATACATATTATACTACTGGGCTGCATGATAAATATAATTTTATTGCTATCACAATATGAGTTTCTGTGATAAACACAATGTTAAGGGCTGCAGTGATAGAACAGATCAAATTAACTCACACAGTGCTGTGACGCATTAGTTTGGCTGGAATGTAGCATCAGAACCAATAAAGGCTCTCCTCTGCTGGGCTTCAACTGTGGGCCAGATTCTTTTGTCCAGACGACTGCATTGGACCATCTCCAAAACAAGGCTTGTGGGGTGCTCCTGGTCAGCAGTTGTAAGTACCTACCGACAGGTTCAAGGAGGGACCAATCACAAACCGACAGACAACTTTCTGTTGCCCAAGGCTTATTGATGCTTGAGGGCAACAAAAGCTGTCCCGTCTGGTCCTAACTGATAGAAAAGCTACTGCGGCACAAGACACTGAAATTTTTAGGCCCAGTCCCATTTCACCCCTCGCTCCTACCACTCAGCCCTTAGCCCTGTTTTGCGCGTTCACGTCTAGGGGTAGAGTGTCCTAATTCTTGTTGAGATAGAGGGGTAGGGTGAAGTGTTGGGGCTACATGACCCTCCAAACAGGGGTTTTTCAGAGACTCCAAACAGAGTGATATGAGAAAAAAAGAAAAACCGGCAAGATGGCTGAGTAAGAGACCAAAGGAACCCACAAATGTGAGAATTTTCTCCTTTAAAAAATTACGATAACCACTGTATTATCTTAGTTTAATGTCGTTTCAGTGTATTTTGGCCCTTTTCTTTATAACAAGCACAGACAATCACTAATAGTATGCTAATGTTTCGGTAGCTAGCTAGCTAACTTTCCCGTTCCACCTTAAATAGTCCAGCAGTACTGACACCTGAAGCGCCAGAATGTAACTGCTGCACCATTTAAGGTGGAACAGGAAAATTCAAACAAGAAGCTGGTGAATATCTGACTTCAGCTTCATATCACTGAAGAATTAGGGGGGTGATAATAAATAATTGCCCCCCTCTTTGAAGGCATATGATGCCCTAAATGTAACTAAAGCCCAGCAGTGAGGAGCTGAACTTTACCCTCCTCTGCGTTCACTGCAGACTGGCAGGGTCGCCTACAGAGCAGCGCTAGTAGCTGTGAAGTGATGGTATGGGTAATGAGTTATTTAATATTTGAGGGTCCCATTCCGTAGGGCAAATTTTCAACCACTACCCCTTGTACCTCTACAGTTCCAAGGGGTTAGGGTGACATTCGAAAACAAGAGGTAGGGATAAAAAAAGAAATGGGATTGGGCCAAATGATGGTTACAGGAAGAATGTGTCCTGACACACAGTGCCCTGTACCCTGCTGCATATGGGGCTACGTAGCCTCGGATAGTTCATAGTGCCCATGCAGACACCTGTAAACCAAACAAAAGGCCTGGAGAAAGTGATGCCACCAGGATGCACAGTGAAAAGAGGACAAGCCAGTGGAGGAGGTGTGATGCTGGGAAACCCTGGGTCCGGACGTTCATATGGACATCAATTTTTCCTACCTACACAACATTGTGGCATATAGAGGACCAACAGCATATTAGGCAGGTGGTCATAATGCTTTGGTGCACTGATGTATATTTATTCATTTTTGTAGGCCTCAATAGAAAATGTATGTTTATTTTATATTGCATTTTATGTCCATCATGCAGCCATACTGTATTTTTATTATGCAGTGAAAGGATAGCAGTTTAATTAAAAAGAAGTGTGCCAACATGGTAAACTGCCCCTGCTCCATTCTTCAGTCTGTGGTCCAGAGTATTTATACCCTAGGCACTATAGAGTAAAGGCTACGTTTACATTACCAGGTTGAAGAAGCACAAATCTGATTTTTTTTTTTTTTTTGCCCTAATGTGACTTAGATCTGATGTTTTCAGGGCTAAAATCTGATTTTCATTTTCTTCATTTTTCAAATTCAACCTGAGCCACTTTCATATGTGGTCCTAGATTGGATATGTATCTGATTCGTGGTCATGTGATCTTAACGTGACGCTCAGATTGGAATTCATGTGCTTTTTTTCCGCTGTGTATCATTCAGCGTTACCATGGCAGCAGCGCCGAACAGAAGTTAAAGCCTGTAAACGGTGGAAAAGCAACACATCTCACCTTTTTCTCCTTCGTCTCGCTCTAATAATGAAGCTGAGAGCTGATCAGAGTTAATTATCTTCTCAGCGAAGCTCGTTCTGCTCGTTAGTTTGTGCTGATGATGAACGTGATTCGTTCACGTGATGTTACTGAGTAGGATGAGCTCATGAGGGTCATTTCAGGACGCCGGTTCGTGACATTAATGACAGATTTGAGTCACTGACCTAAACGAGTGTGAACCATCGTGTCAGAGAGATCAGATTTGAGCAAAAAATCGGATTTGAGCAATGAGGCTTGTAATGTGAACGTAGCTAAAGGGTGTCTAGTTAAATCAAATCATGGACTGTTTTCATTCTAGGTGCAGTTTTGATATTTTTACCAGGATATGATGAAATAGTTGGACTGCGTGACCGTCTTCTTTTTGACGACAAAAGATTTGCAGAGCATCAGCAGAGGCATGTTAAATTTCGTTGCTTTGTTTGCATTTACATTTACGTAATTTGACAGACACTCTTATCCAGAGCAACAACAATGTGATTATTTTTTACACAGGTAGGTGAAGGTAGTGTTAGGAGTCTTGCCCAAGGATATATATAGTGTATAGTGTAGAGGTCTTGCCCAGGCAGGGGATTGAACCCCAGTCTACAGCATAGAGGGCAGCAGAGTTACACACTACACTGTACCAACCATATAATAATACTGTGTTACTACCCCACGTTTTGTCTAGAGCGCTGTGGGATCAGTAACATGCAGCATTAAAATTCTGAACCGGTGAGAATGGATTAGCAGCTTGAGGAACAGACCAATATAGACCTTTTGAAGCCAGTTTATTAAAACGAACCACAATAAAACTAGTGGGCTGTGATATCTAGTACCACACTGGAAGAATCAAACTGTGGACGGCACCAAAGAAAAGAACTAAACAAAACCTAACCACGCTCGCCTACTCTGAAACGAAAAGTGTTTAGTCTAAAAAAGAAACAAAAGCTAACTACTCTAAACTTCCCTAGCCAGTCATCAAAAGCACGTGGCAGTGCCGTCTGACCTACGTGGTGCGAATGTATAGGCGCCCCCCTCTCACCTGTTTCAAACCCCAGGTTAACAAAAGTTAACCTTTTCAACTCCTTGGAACCTCCAGTGGTTCCAAAACGCACTTCGTCATATTCTACATAACTTTCATATTTCATAAGCTACATTCTAAAGGTGGGGGTCGTATGAGAGCTGTAACTGTCTTCTTTCCAGTCAAATAGATGGGTGATGTAATTTTAACCCTTATAATAAAAGAAGCTGAACTCACAATTTTTTTTTTCTACTGAAAGTCGACCCATTTTTCCACAAATCTGAGCTATAAACTGGATCTCAGATGGCGTCTCTTCAGTGATCTGCTCTGTGAAAATTATTTTTATAAAAACATACAAAGATCGTCTAAGATTTTTGGCTTTCAGCAGTAAATTGTAAGCATATAGCAATATGTGTGATCATAAAACACATGTTCTGTTCATTTGAGGGTAACTTTCACAAAAATAAATGAATAAATCAAATAAAACTTTACATTCATTTCATGCAGTTACTGAATAATTTGCCTTACGATTTTTGGACATGTAAATTCAGATGGAAAAACCAAAACATACCCTGGTCAGTTAAAAGTGTGCAGGGAAAATACCAAAAACTCAAGTACTCCCCCTAACATAAAAGACAAAGTCTTGCAAGCTAAGTTAAAAGAAGCACCAATGAAACACCTAAATCAAAGCACACTCCCAACACGAGAGTAAAAACACAAATTAAAACAGCACACATGATCAGTCCTCTCTCTCTTCAGCCATCTTGAAGGCCTCTTTTAAAATATAGGCTGCTCCCCCAACTGCACCAGCCAGGCCTCTGATTGGTTCTCCTCACATGACTGTTTGCAAAGCAGGTACCTCTGTGAAGAGGCCGAGAGAGAGAGACACAAACACACACAAAAGGATCTGTGCTTACACTTAACAACTGTTATTAGCTGCAGTGCGAATTCATTTGGTTTTAGTTTCATCTTCAATTTTTTTCCCGGTCCTTCAGGTACCAGGTGTTCACACTGCACTCCAACATGCAGACCTCAGATCAGAGGAAAGTTTTGAAACCAAGTCCAAACGGGGTTCGCAAAATAGTGAGTGCGATTTTTTTTTTTTGTGTTATGTAAAGACAGAACCACCAGTTATTTTCCTCAGAGTTTCTGAACTGGAACATTTCTGCTTTTTTCTCCTTCTCTTTTAGATTCTTTCAACAAACATTGCAGAGACGAGCATCACAGTCAATGATGTTGTCTTTGTCATTGACTCTGGCAAAGTTAAAGAGGTATTGAACCAATATTGTTTACTAATTAGGGACAGTTTGCTCTGTTTTATAGAAGATCCACTCATTTTTTTTCTCTTTGATACCTGACAGAAAGCTTTTGATGCCCTGAATCATGTGACCATGCTAAAGATGGTTTGGATATCGAAGGCAAGCGCATTACAGCGTAAAGGAAGGTACGTATCCTTTCACGTGATGTTCAGCAGTACTTTTATCAGCTCCACTTACTATATAGGTGCACTTTGTAGTTCTACAGTTACAGACTGTAGTCCATCTGTTTCTCTGATACTTTGTTAGCCCCCTTTTACCCTGTTCTTCAGTGGTCAGGACCCCCATGGACCCTCACAGAGCAGGTACTATTTGGTTGGTGGACTATTCTCAGCACTGCAGTAACACTGACGTGGTGGTGGTGTGTTAGTGTGTGTTGTGCTGGTCTGAGTGGATCAGACACAGCAGTGCTGCTGGAGTTTTTAAACACTGTGTCCACTCACTGTCCACTCTATTAGACACTCCTACGTTGTCAGTCCACCTTGTAGATGTAAAGTCAGAGGCGATAGCTCATCTGCTGCTGCACAGTTTGTGTTGGTCATCCTCTAGTCCTTCATCAGTGGTCACAGGATGCTGCCCACAGGACGCTGTTGGCTGGATATTTTTGGTTGGTGGACTATTCTCAGTCCAGCAGTGACACTGAGGTGTTTAAAAACTCCAGCAGCACTGCTGTGTCTGATCCACTCAGACCAGCACAACACACACTAACACACCACCACCACGTCAGTGTTACTGCAGTGCTGAGAATAGTCCACCAACCAAATAGTACCTGCTCTGTGAGGGTCCATGGGGGTCCTGACCACTGAAGAACAGGGTAAAAGGGGGCTAACAAAGTATCAGAGAAACAGATGGACTACAGTCTGTAACTGTAGAACTACAAAGTGCACCTATATAGTAAGTGGAGCTGATAAAATGGACAATGAGCGTCGAAACAAGGAGGTGGTCATGACGTTATGCCTGATCAGTGTATCATAGAATAACCCAAAATTAAGTGTTTCCAAAATATTTAAATATTTAATGAAACACCTTGAAATGCCTTCTGGTGTTGGTTTCCTGGATGTGGATTCAGCCTAATCTTGGATTGAATTTCAGTGTTAATGAACAAGTCCCACTGGACATAGTCTGAGGCTTAAGCTGGGTCTGGGAAACTTTTCTGTATTTCAAGAAAACCACACATTAAAAAACAGACATTAGTTTGTTACCCCTGAACCCACAGAGAACCTTTCAGATATCTTCTCAATTGTGGAGTCCTGTCTTGAAGTAGTCTCTGTTGCTGTTATAGAGCTGGGCGCTGCAGGCCGGGAATCTGTTTCCATCTGTTCAGTCGTCTGCGGTTCAATAACATGCTGGAGCACCAGGTCCCTCAACTGCTGCGTATGCCACTGCAGGTACACTCAACAAAAGTGCTGACTTAGGATCAGTTTTTCTAATTTTCAGTCTTAACAAAATATTACAGCGTTCCTGTGAAAGTGATAATGTTAGCTTCTCAGAGCACTGATGGCTGGTCTAGGGATCTGGAGTAGACGCTGCTAGATTAGCACTCATATTTAAGCCCCATTATTGTGATAGGAGTAATGGCCTGTGTGTACTAATTGAACGTAAATTACATCACAAAATGTCTTTGTTAGTACAACATGGGTGTAGTCAGTATACACATACACACACACACACACACACACACACACACACACACACACACACACACGTACACAAATGTATCACTGTTGTTGAAAGAAAACCTCATATCTCCAAATTGGTAACTTTACAGGAGAAGGAAAAAACATACTTTACTTTTAATGTAAGTCAATGGAACCAGAATTTTGGGTCGTTTGTTTTGGTCCATTCATCATGAAATTTACACACAATGTAAAGGGCAACAGGTATTTTCAAATTATGTCAAAAACTGAAAAACGTCAAAAATGGAGATACGAGGTTTTCTTCCGACAGCAGCGATATGTGAGTATAGATATGAGTATAGATATGTTATGTTTAAATGCAGATTATACAACAGTTAGTTTCGGCCACGCACGCTGATTGGTTGAGAAGCGTTCTAACTGTGCTGTTATTTCACCATAACATCACAGGTTTTTCACAAACACTGTATCACTCCGCTGAGACACCGTTGCTAAGCAGCGACTTTGAAAGCTATAGGAGACGCTGAAGCCGATGGACACTTTTAAGATCACATTTGACCGACAGCCGATTTGGTCAGACTCTGAAGATGAGACGACACTGAATTCCCAAACTGTCGTCACCACTGAGCAGCTTTTCAGTCGGCAGCTGTGACAGAAGAACAGCTGAACAACCTGGAATCAGCCAGAAATGAACCCAACACCATTCGCCAAACTAAATGGGCTGTAAGATGCTTTACAGACTGGCTGGAACAAAACAACATTAATACTGATCTGGCAAAAACTGACAAAACTGAGCTGAACTTGATATTGCGGCAGTTTTATAGCTCAGTCTGATTTGGTCAGACTCTGAAGATCAGACTACACGTTTGGCGAATGGTATTGGGTTCATTTCTGGCTGATTCCAGGTTGTTCAGCTGTTCTTCTGTCACAGCTGCCGACTGAAAAGCTGCTCAGTGGTGATGACAGTTTGGGAATTTAGTGTAAGGAGCTGGAGAACGAACTGCCGGCTGTGCAGCGAGTGGGCGGAGCTCGTTACTCTGACGGAGCAACAAGCTGCTTGTTAAGAAACTGTAATTTGGTGAAGGAACTGCGAACATTAAAACATATTAAACGCCGCGTTCACGGCCCAGTTTATTAATTTATTACTTTATTTATTTAACTGTTGTATAAAAGCAATAGGACACTTGAGTGTGTTATCACACCACACACACTCAACACTCAACACACCCACACAATTAACACACCACACACAACTAACACAATTAACACACAGCACACACTCAACATACCCGACACCACACACACTTAACACACCCAACAAACCACACACACTCAACACAGCCCACACCACACTCTCAACACCACACACACTCCACACAATTAACACACAGCACACACTCCACACAATTAACACACAGCACACACTCCACACAATTAACACACAGCACACACTCAACACACCCAACACCACGCACACTTAACACACAAAACAAACCACACACTCAACACACCCAGCACCACACAGTATTAACACACCTCATACACACAACACACAACACACAGCACACACTCAACACACCCAGCACCACACAGTATTAACACACCTCATACACACAACACACAGCACACACTCAACACACCCAGCACCACACAGTATTAACACACCTCATACACTCAACACACAACACACAGCACACACTCAACACACCCAACACCACACAGTATTAACACACCTCATACACTCAACACACAACACACAGCACACACTCAACACACACCACACGCACTTAACACGCCAAACAAACCACACACTCAACACACCCCACACACTCAGCACACCCCACACACTCAACAAAGCCCACACCACACACAATGAACACAGCACACACTCAACACACCCAACACCACACACAGTTAACACACCTCCTACACTCAACACATCACACACAACACACAGCGCACACTAAACCCACCCCACACAACACATACTCACACACTTTTTCTTGTTTTAACGTAATTAACTCGCTTTTTCAAGCCAACTTAACTTTCGTTCACGAACTTTCCCTTTGTAGTTTATTTAACTGTTGTATAAAAGCAACAGAACACTCGAGGTCGTGTGTTATCGCTCTCGCCTTCGGCTCGTGCCTGCGACCAAATCACAGCCATGATGTTATTTCGCGATAACACACTCCCTCTCGTGTTCTGTTGCTTAAGTAGCCTGCCACTTAAAATGAGGAGTATCTCTCTCTCTCTGATAGGAACTCTGTCTCCACACTAAGCTACTTGCTCCCATTAACTGCCCTATTGCTGAATTCCTGGCTAAAGCTCCAGAGCCACCACACCTGATGACTGTCAAGAATGCTGTGCAGATGCTCAAGGTATTGCTTTAAAACATGTACAGTGTTCACTTAAAGCTCCACCAGAATCTCAGACTTGCCATTGTACTTATAAGTACTTTTAACAAAGTAGCTACAGTGCATTTTGCTGCCTCATATTCAAGACTGATGGGCTACTACAAGAGAGTTTCTCCATTCAGAACATCAGTCCATATGAGCCCAGTAATCAGCATTCTGCAGCCCTTATTTATGTGGTTCAGGTTTGTTTGGACAGAAATGCGGAATGACTAGAGGTTTGTAATTGATTTCTCTATAGTAAAGCAACAGTGTTCAGTCCTTCTCTAAGAAATGTAATTGATGTAAATTTTTAATATTCAGCTGCTCTTTGAAACTTCAATTGGATGGATCAATCATGCTAATAATTATTAAAAAAACACTAGTAAGTCACAGATGTGTAAATCTCTGATCCTCACAATGATTCGGTTCCTATTCTTTAGGAAACTCTTAAATGCATCTTAAGATTTGAAATGATTTAAATCATTTGGTACGATTCAGAGCTGAATACGCTTAGTACACAAATGTGACGGGAGACTTTTTTGAAATTTAACATTTGAAAGTAGCCTGAAGTTTTTAGTTTAAATTCATTTTATTTTTGGCAAAAACATTACAAATTTACAAAGCTGTGCTTCTGTCTCTGTATTCCCACCCAGACTATAGATGCCATGGATCCGTGGGAGGACCTAACGGAGTTGGGCTATCACCTGGCTGACCTGCCCGTGGAGCCGCACCTTGGGAAGATGGTGCTTTGTGCTGTGGTGCTCAAGTGCCTGGACCCCATCCTCACCATCGCCTGCACGCTGGCCTACAGGGACCCTTTTGTGCTGCCTGCTCAGGCCTCACAGAAACGAGCTGCCATGCTGTGCAGGAAGCGCTTTGCCGCCAACGCTTTCAGCGATCACATGGCTCTGCTTCGGGCCTTTCAGGTAGCCTCGCTGACCAGTGCTTTAACAGAAAAGGAAAAAATGAACAGGAACAGGAAAAAATGTGTTGGAGCTACAAAAAAAGAAACATCCCTATTCAAATTGCACGCTCTGTTAACACATTCTGTACAGAGAATCAATTTATATATGGCATTTGCCTGCATGTTTTAGTGCATTTTTTTTTGTTTATATAATGTTTATAAAATATGTTTGTTTATATAAAATATACAATATAAAATGTGAGAGAAATTTTGCACAGGCCACATTTTATCCTTTATTTTTTCCAAAATGTAAAATTCAGCAAATAAGCAGTACTTGTCCATTAAATGGGCAGAAGTGTGTTCTCTGTAGTGGATGTATTAACGTATTTTGACAAAATCAACAAAACATGTAATTTGACTGGTGTGCCCAAACATCTGCATACTGCTGTATTATTTTAGGGATACAGCACTGTGTGCTGGGCAAAAGGTCTGTTTTTAGACATCAGAATCATCAGTTTTCTCAGTTTATCGTCTGTTAATTTACTGTTAGTAAATAAGTTCTAGTCAGTTCAGTTCAAATTAAGTTTAATTTTATAGTACTCTTATAATAATAATAATTAGTACTTTTACAGCCATCATTGTCACAAAGCACCTTTACATTCTAAGATTAGTATGCCATTGTTCTGATGTCCAAGATTAGGCTTGATCTTTCTGTTTCTTAACCCAGGAAGACCCTTTTAACTCTGGGAGTTATATTCAGATGGCTTAGCGGCTTTTAATTGTTTCTAAGAGAGGGCCGCCTAGCCCGAGTAATATAAGACCCTGTAAAATAACCCCTAATGTGTGACTTGTCCTTTCTTCTTCGTTTCCCAGGCGTGGCAGAAGGCCCGCGGCGACGGCTGGGAGAGATCCTTCTGTGAGAAAAATTTTCTGTCGCAGGCCACCATGGAGATCATTATTGGGATGCGGACCCAGCTTCTGGGCCAGCTCCGAGCCATAGGTACAAAACAAAACTAAATAACGAAATAATTTATTTATCTACCTCAGACTCACTAACTGCACATACGGAAATGTGTACAACAGTACATATGATAGATTTGTTTCATAGCTTATTACTGTACAACTATACATCGGAAATAATGCAATACTATCATATATTGTGTATACATTTAGAGTCTGTGTATATATATTTCTTTTTCCTTTTATATATTTATTTTTTTGTATTCAAATTCAGATTTTCACTCACCTTGCACCTGTGTAAATGTGATGTTACAGTAAACGTGATTTGATTTGATTTGATTTGATAAACAAAAAAATAACGGTCTGTGTATCTTTTGGTCATCATTTCAAATCCTGGATTGAAAAAGGGCAAATGGGTCAGTTCTCGTTTTTGGTTCCGTTATCGTCGGTGTAAATATCAGGAAATAACTTCGTTTTACAGTTTCACCAACTAATCATAAAATCAAATAACAAAATAACACAAGAAAAATAAAGAGTCGTAATTTTTTATCCAAATTTAAAAATTTCTATCATTTAAACCGTAAATAGACCTGTCCAGGGTGTATCCTGCCTTCTGCCCGATGGCAGCTGGGATAGGCTCCAGCACCCCACCGCGACCCAGAAGGATAAGCGGTTTAGATGGTGTGTGTGTGTGTGTGTGTGTGTGTGTGTGTGAGAACCGTAAATAAACGTGCAGAGGGCACGAAAGGTTGCAGAAGCTCAGAAATCAGGTGGTAAAAAATGATAAAGACAGGAAAGATCGGGCATGAATGTTGATGAGATGGGCACAGTCCCAGCATTTTAGGAGACTATATGATGTTTTTATAGGTGTTTGTGTATCTAATGTAGCTATTCTATCAGCAAAAAACTGAAGTGATAAGGAGAAGAGACTCTACAGGACTCTCGCCATTTAACAGCGAAATCAGAGAGAAATGAGTCACGCTGCCCAATAATGATGAGCAAAATTAATACAGCGTCACGTCGTCAGATTTAAACTTTGTTTGTGTTACAGCTGCAGACTTAAGAATTAAAGCTGTGAGCTGTCCTGTTGATATTGTGGTGTCTATATGCCTGCGAGACGTGCGGGCATGCGAAGGGCGGTCAGGATTCTGCACGACCCCAAAAAAACAGGCCTGATTTCTGTAATTGGTGTGCACTCTGTACGTGCATTTCCGGTTAGGGAGATAGATTTTTTTTTTTTATTTGGATAAATAAAATACAACCCTTAATTCAATTGTTTGTATGTTAATTGATTTTAGGATTAGTTTGTGAAACTGTAAAGCTATTTCCTGTTTTTTTTTCTACCGACAATAACAGAACCGAAAACAAGAATTGACCCATTTTCCACGTTTTTCAGTGCTGGTTTTGAAATGAAAATTGAATGACCTAAAGATACACGGACCAATAACCCTCTAAAAAATTTGCACTACAGTATCAGACTCGATGAGTCTAAGGCCCAGTCTCATTTCTTCTTTTTACCCCTACCCCTTGTTTTCGAGTTTCACCCTAAATCCTGAAATCTTGCCCTACGAAATGGGACCCTCAAAATGAGAAAAAAAAAGAGCATTACTTCATTAACAGCTACCAGCGCTGCTCTGTAGGCGACCCTGCCAGTCTGCAGTGACAGCAGAGGAGGGTAAAGTTCAGCTCCTCACTGCTGGGCTTTAGTTACATTTAGGGCGTCATATGCTTTCAAAGAGGGGGCAATTATTTATTATCACCCACCACTAATTCTTCAGTGTTATGAAGCTGAAGTCAGATATTCACCAGGTTCTTGTTCGAGTTTTCCTGTTCCACCTTAAATGGTGCAGCAGTTACGTTCTGGCGCTTCAGGTGTCAGTACTGCTGGACTATTTAAGGTGGAACGGGAAAGTTAGCTAGCCAGCTACCGAGACATTAGCATACTATTAGATTTTTTTTATGCTTGTTATGAAGAAAACAACCAAAATACACTGAAACGACATTAAACTAAGAAAATACAGTGATTATCGTAATTTTTTAACGGAGAAAATTCTCACATTTGTGGGTTTCTTTGGTCTCTTGTTCAGCCATCTTGCTGTCCTCTGAAAAACCTCCGTTTGGAGGGTCATGTAGCCCCAACACTTCACCCTACCCCTCTATCTCAACACAAATTAGGACACTCTACCCCTAGACGTGAACGCGCAAAACAGAGGGCTAAGGGCTGAGTGGTAGGGGCAAGGGGTGAAATGGGATTGGGCCTAAATCTAACAAACTTCCAACTTTCAACTGTATTGAAATAATGGGTCCTGATCAATAACCCTCATGCTCGGTTATCAGGCTTTGTGCGAGCTCGAGGTGGAGGCGATATCCGTGACGTCAATCTGAACTCTGAGAACTGGGCTGTAGTGAAGGCTGCGCTGGTGGCAGGCATGTACCCCAACCTGACCCACGTAGACAGGGAAAGCTTGACGCTCATGGGAGCCAAGGAGAAGAAAGTCCGCTTCCACCCTACGTCTGTCCTCAGCCAGCCCCAGTACAAGAAGGTCGGTAACGGCAGAGTGAAAGCACAGAAACCTCCACTTTGGCTTAAGTGTGTTTTCAAATGATACATTTTGTCTTTTGTGTAGTTAAAGGGGAATTTCACAGATTTTGCAAAAAGAAATCGGAATAATTAAGTTGTTAAGATGCGAACAAAGTCATTCACAGTTGTGAAACCAGGGGCCGTGTTACAGAAACTTCCTATCTTTTTGTCTTAACTTAAGATCTGACAGGTCAAGATAAGATTTTTCACAAATTTGTATTACAGAAGCAAATCTTATCTTGATTTAAGAATCTTATCTTACAGCATCTTTTCTTATCTCAAGTTAGGAAATCTTAACTTCCTTGATCGGAGTCAACCATCAACAAGTTAGTTAGTCAGACAGGGTCAAAAGGGTCAAATAAAACTAAAGCGTGATAAACTTAAGGTGAGTATTATTGTGACAGCGCCCCCTGCTGTTTATCAGTCACCGCTCCACAGTTTCAGTCTCCATTTCCCAAACGCTTTAGCCGAGCGCATTAACGTTATTCCTCCTAATAAACAGACACACGTTCAGCTCTGTCTCCTCGTTATTCACCACCATCACTGTAATATTGTGTCTAAAGAGTTTTTATCAAACATTAAACGGAGGTAATGAGAGGGTGGCGGTCGAGTCTGCAGTGTGTGGGCTTTTTAAAACGCTGTTAGAAAAAAAACTCAAGTCAAAGCTCCGTTTTCAGTGTAGAGAAATGTAGCGTCATTATGCTGGTTATAGTGAACTGTGCTGCCCATCACTGCACAAAACGATAGAAACAGACAGTTAAAACAGAAGTTAAGACCCTCTGGGGTTTATCTTAAAGTTAGGACAGTATTTAGGAGGTTTCTGTAACACTGTTTTCTTATCTGGAGTTAATGGATAACATTATGAACTTAAGAACTGTTGCTCTGTAATAGATTCTGTCCTAAATTCAGTCTTAACTAAAGTTGTCAAAAAAAATTTTCCTCAAATTTATTCCTCAGATCCCTCCAGCCAATGCCCAAGCAGCAGCAGTCCAGTCCCTGCCCACTGATTGGCTAATCTATGACGAGATGACCCGGGCACACAGGATAGCCAGCGTGCGGTGCTGCACTGTGGTCACTCCGCTCACCGTGGCTGTGTTCGGAGGGTGTGCCAAACTGCCCAGTACTGCCTTCCAGGAGCCCGCCATGCCAAGAGGTACCCTGCTATCAGTCGACTCAGACATAATGAATTGTTTTTGCTGCATATCTGCTTAAGGTAATTCTAGGGGAGAAAGTTTTTCTGCTGATTTTCAGTATGACAGTAGATTTGGCTGAATCACTAAAGACTTTCTGACTGACCATTTCAGATTTGCTCAATAATTTCATGAAGGTCTTAATGTCCAGTAGTCTGTCTGCAAACTTTTAGGCTTGTATCTTTATTAGTTCCTGTGATACAGAGGCTTTATAAGGTGGACATGGCCTTAAGTTTAGCCTTTAAATGACTGCCACAGAAAATGGATCAAACTGTCACAAGTAAATTACATTTATTTTGTGGTTATATTTCATATAGGCTACGTTCACATTACAAGCCTCATTGCTCAAATCCGATCTCTCTGACACGATGGTTCACACTCGTTTAGGTAAGTGATTCAAATCTGTCATTAATGTGACGAACCGGCATCCTGAAATGACCCTCATGACCTCATCCTACTAAGTACCGTCACGTGAACGAATCACGTTCATCATCAGCACAAACTAACGAGCAGAACGAGCTTCGCTGAGGAGATAATTAACTCTGATCAGCTCTCAGCTTCATTATTAGAGCGAGACGAAGGAGAAAAAAGTGAGATGAGCTGCTTTTCCACTGTTTACAGGCTTTAACTTCTGTTTGGCGCTGCTGCCATGGTATGAATGAATGATGGCGCAGTGGAAAAAAAGCACATGAATTCCGATCTGAGCATCACATTAAGGTCACATGGCCACGAATCGGATACGTATCCGATCTAGGACCACATATGAAATTTTTTGCCCTAATGTGACTCAGATCTGATGTTTTCAGGGCTGTGTGGACACAAATCTGATCTTTTCAAATTCAACCTGAGCCACTTTCATATGTGGTCCTAGATCGGATACGTATCTGATTCGTGGCCATGCAACCTTAATGTGACACTCAGATTGGAATTCATGTGCTTTTTTTCCCACTGCACGTGTGCCATCATTCAGCGTTACCATGGCAGCAGCGCCAAACAGAAGTTAAAGCCTGTAAACGGTGGAAAAGCAGCTCATCTCACCTTTTTCTCCTTCGTCTCGCTCTAATAATGAAGCTGAGAGCTGATCAGAGTTAATTATCTTCTCAGCGAAGCTCGTTCTGCTCGTTAGTTTGTGCTGATGATGCACGTGATTCACTCACGTGACGTTACTGAGTAGGATGAGCTCATGAGGGTCGTTTCAGGACGCCGGTTCGTCACATTAATGACAGATTTGAATCACTTACCTAAACGAGTGTGAACCATCGTGTCAGAGAGATCGGATTTGAGCAACAATCGGATTTGAGCAATGAGGCTTGTAATGTGAACATAGCCAAAGTGGCTCAGGTCGGATTTAAAAAGATCAGATTTGTGTCCACACAGCCCTGAAAACATCAGATCTGAGTCACATTAGGGCAAAAAATCAGATTTGTGCCACTTCAGCCTGGTAAAGTGAACGTAGCCAGACTGACTTGGTCCTTAAAGCCACTTAAATGACATACTCGGACCTCTGATGACCAGGCAGGTGGGCTTACTGCATTGAGAATCTCTCCTGATACGCCTTTACTGTAGGTTGACCTACTTTATGTTCAGACTAGTCGTCTGTCTGTTGTCAGATGCTGATGTTTGCGTTGAGCCATGCTGTTTGTAACTGCCATGTGTTTGTGCTCTTAGCTGTAGATGAGGCTGTGAACGAGAGCAGTGACAGTGAGATGGAGGATCGCTCCACAGCTCACCTGGCCCAGATTAAGATTGACGAGTGGCTTAACTTCAAGTTGGATCGAGAGGTATAGAAAAACAGATAAATCTCTTTCTTTCCTTTTCTTTCGTTAACTCTTGACTACGAGATGAAGAGGAGTGGAAGACATCTTTATTCTTGTCTTCCTGTCTTTTTCTTTTTTGCGTATTTACTTTTATTACTTCTTGCTGCCTTTATTTGCCACTAACCATTTTTCTTTAGAATTTCAATTTCTAGAAATGGTTGTGTCGTTTTTTTTTTTTGTCGTTGTTTTTGTCTTGAATTCATTTTATTCAGTTAGTGTTGGACAATATGCTGCTAATATCGCAATTATAGTAAATTATATCACAGTAAGTCACAATGTTTTCCTGAGTACATCATGAATATCCTCAGTCCTTAAAGAACACTGACCAACTGCATGTTTCCATACAAAGAGAGCATAATTACGCCTGTTTAATTGGAACTAGTGCAGCACAGTGTGTGACAGTGTTTTCACATATAGTTCGTTTTAAAAGAAGAGTTCTGTTGAAGTGGACCTGAAAGGGAACCGATTACAAATGACATCAGTTCTTTTTGTGTTCACAAAAATGCGTTTTCACACTTGGGCCGTTTCAGCGTCTGAAGTGGACCCAGACCGCTGAGTCATGGTTTCTTTTGCATATATGAACATACCAAACAAACTCAGACCCTCTAAACGGACCCAAAAACGAACCAAACTTGAGAGGTGGTCTCAGTTCGGTTCGTTTTGTGGTTTGATTGATTTGTACATTGTGAAAACAAAATGGACCCCAGTGCGCTTTAGCATTGCTTTATGGTGACCTCGAGGCTCATTATACACACAGTCACAGCGCTTTAGCGGGTAAAAACAGACCAAGGATCATTTCTAAGGTTCTACTCAGGATAAAGTCTGTCCGTGATCTGCGACAAGACAGCAGCCCTGACATGTTAAAGCGATAATATGCGAGAGCCCATGTGGTTTTACCATGCTGGGCACGCAACGCAGTTTTAAGCTGCTTTCACACTGAACTCTGAATGAATGACCATTGACCACTTTTTCCGGGTAGTTCACTTACATTGTGAACACAAAAAGCACTGAGGTCATTTGCAGTTGGTTCCCTTCCAGGTTCACTTTAACAGAACTCAGTTTGGTCCTTTTAAAACGAACTATATGTGAAATCACTAAATGAACTATAAAGAGGACTCTTCTTTCTGGTCCTTTAAGATCTCAAACCACTCCTTGTTCAGACCACAACTCCGTTAGAACTCGGACCCCTTTCACACCACTCACGGTGTGTGTAGCGCTTGCAAAGTGGGCAGCGTTCTCTGATAAGTCTGACCTTCCAGGTGGTGAGAGGAACAACCGGACCCGCCTGCTGCTCTCCTATTGGCTGCACTGTGTCTGCTGTGGTGGTCTCCGTTTTCAGCTGTGCTCCTCATTGGAGGGCTGTGGGGGCTCAAATCTGCGTCTGCAATGAAATAACGTATTTAAAAGAGCAGCGGAGAATTTTCTTTCGTTCAGCGTTCAGTGGGAAAGGGCTTAAAGTTGCATTGTGTGCCCAGCATGAGCCTTTAACACGGTAAAAATCGGGCGGACAGGGTCCTGATCAGTTATAAATGATCCTTGGTGATTTTACCTGCTGAAGCGCTGGAAGACTGTAGCTGTTTGTACGATAAGCTTTGAGGTCTTCACCATAAAGCAGAGCGAACCTGGGTCTGTTTTGTTTTCACAATGCACAAATTAATTGAACCACGAAACGAACTGCAAACAAACTAAACTGAGGCCGCGAAAACACTGTATCGATAGTTTTTGATAGTATTTTTTTTAAATTAAGTTTTTATTAAATGACCCTTATTAGTCCCACAGCGGGGAAATTTCACCTCCGCATTTAACACATCCGTGCAGTGAAACGCCACATACACACTAGAGGGCAGTGAGCGGTGGGCAGCCTATCCGCAGCGCCTGGGGAGCCGTTGGGAGTTGGGTGTCTTGCTCAAGGGCACTTCAGTCATGTACTGTTGGCTCAGGGAATCGAACCAGCAAGGCTCGTTCCCAAACCTCCAGCCCACGACTGCCCATTTTAGTATTTCATAGTATTTTTTTTAGTATTTGACAGTTTTTTGTCCTTTCTTTAGTATTTGATACCATTTTTTCCCTTTTTCTGCAGCCCAAGGGGCCGTTCCGCCACTAGTATGAAATCAGTTCACACTTCTTAACAAAAACAGTCGAGTTGCGATCAGACGGACAACACAACATCCTGATATCAAAAATATACATCAAAAATGTAAATCTGGAACCATTAAAAAAAGCATTTTCAGTTTGGTAAAATCGTTATGCATATCGTACATTGAGGAAATACTGAAGAATGGTCTTATTATATTTTTGCCATGTTGCCCACCCCTGAATTCACTATGCTTCAGTCATGTTATGTAATAAATGTTCTCTCTCTCTCTCTCTCTCTCTCTCTCTCTCTCTCTCTCTCTCTCTCTCTCTCTCAGATGGCAGACCTGGTGTTCCAGCTCAGGCAGCGATGGCAGGGTCTTTTCCTGAGAAGAATCCGCTCACCTTCTAAGCCGTGGTCTCAGCTGGACGAAGCGACGATCCGAGCCCTGGTCTCAGTGCTGTCCACTGAAGAGCAGGCATCAGGCCTGCAGCAGCCCACAGGCGTTGGACAGAGACCCAAACCCATGTCCTCTGACGAGCCCCCACAGCCCTCCTCTTGGAAGAGCACCAACAGCCGCAGGAGCCTCCTGGACACGGAGAGGGGCGAAGAGGCAGCCAGTGCGGACAGGCAAGACTTACAGAACTTGCAGAGCCTTTTAGAAACAAAATTTTCTAAAAGAATGATCTATTAGCTATCGGCAATACTCAGCCCTTCTTTCTGTCCCCAGATTGATTTGTTCTTTGAGCTTTTTGTGTTTGATTATATTTTGATAAGCAGTATCAACGGGCTCCTATTCCTTTTTTCCCTTGATGTCCTCTTTCTAAAACTACACTATCTTTGTAGTTTTATGTACCAGAACAGTACTAAATCATTTCTACATAACCGTTTTCCACTTTCCTTTGAAAGAAAAACAGTTGATGTAGTATTTAAATATTGTTAAAAATTCAAAATGTACCACTGACTCCCCACTCTATATTGGCCATATGTGGAAACAAAACAGTCCATTTTGATTTCATAGTTTTAATGACATCACAGCCCCACCAGACAAACAAAACAGTTTAGCCCTGCCTGTTAAGGGAGTGTTCAACGGGGCTGCAAATCAAAACACAGATTATTTTACATATACCAGGAAAGTGATCATGTAAAAATGGTTTTGGTTCAGAAACCAAACCAGTTCATTCTGCATGAGTCGTAGGTTAGGGAACCAGCCTTGGGACCAGAAGGTCGCCGGTTCGATCTTCTGAGCTGACAGGACATGACTGAAGTGCCCTTGAGCACCTAACCCCCAACTGCTCCCCAGGTGCTGTGGATAGGGATGCCCATCCTATTGTGTGTATGTGGGTGTTTCACTGCACAGATGGGTTAAATGTGGAGGTGAATTTCCCTACTGTGGGATTAAAAATGGGTAAGTTAATGTTAATGTTAATGTTAAAACCATATCAATGTCTTAATTGAGCCTCAGAGGAAATTAAGAAACACGAGAAATATGTCAGATATTGGCCTTTTAAGACTGATAAAGGTAAACAACCTGTATTCTGATTTGCTGTCCTGTATTGGGCCTTATTTATAAAGCAGCCCAGGCTGAAACAGGCAGTAAATAAATGTGCGACAGTGGACAGAGAATGCAAAACAGGCTGTTTTGCAGTTTAGTGTCTGTAAATAGGCTGTATGGACTGAGAAGCAAATTGTACGTTTAGAAAAATGAAGGATCTTTCCATATTAAACTCATTTCAAATTTAAAAGAGATGAAAACTAATATTTCTATGACGTTGGCCCTGTTCTGAGTCTTTGTGAAAGCAATAATATTTATTTGCGATAAATATATATGCATGCTTTTATGCATAGACAGTAACTCCCTTTTTTATTTTCCTCTTCAGGCCTCCAAGACTGTCCCCTGCTCTTCCTCAGTCTAAGAGTCACAGAGAAAAAGGTGCTGCTCACTCCAAGCGTTCCACTGATGACCATCTCTCAGTAAAAGCAGATAGCCCCAGCTTCAACAGCCCCTCTACCAGCCCCTCATCCACCTCCTCGGGAAAAGTAACTGCTGTTTTTATCTCTCCTTCAAGTAGGATGGGAGTAGTTTTTTATATTGATTAAACTAGGATTGTCCATGTTTTTTGGGGGGGCAGGACCGAGAAAAATCGAGTCGTAGAGTAACTTTAATAATAGGTATTCAAGTACTCAGTGCATTATCACTGTAACATTAATGGGTAATTTAAGGGACTAGTCTAATAGGTTAGTGTTAAGCATGTGCTGTACGCATATAAAGATATTATTGGTTCCGAAAACATTTTCTACTATTTTTCCCATTGGATATGAACGTCTGTTGAAGCTACTATGTACCAAACACAAAAAAAATGCCAAAGTTTAACCTTTGAGATCAATAAAGTGTGTCTCATGTCTAAGTACCGTCATATAAGCCAGTCATTTCCTAGTGAACAGGCAGGATCAGTAGCATCGTTTCTGTTTGACAGTCGGCTTTTCTAGCTAAATCAGAATCAAGCTTTATTGGCCAGGTGTGCTTACACATACAAGGAATTTGGTTTTGGTTACAGGAGCTCACAGTGCACAGACAAACGTTTACATGTAGTGGATAAAATAAAATAATTAAATAAAATATGCATTCCTACCATCACTCACTCAAACACACACAGTCATACCTGTAAACCTTACGATGTGCAAAGTATGTCTTAAGTTAAAGTGCTGAGTGCAGCAGCAGTTAAAGGGTGTATAGTGGCAAAGAAAGGGGTCAGTGAGGTGACAGTCAGATAAGTGGGGTAATAAGGCAGGTAAGTGAGGTGCTAGAAGAGGCACTACATTTCCCAGAATGTAGAAAAGTTATATCGCGATAATTATCGCTATCGTTTTATCTCCCAGCCCTAGATGTAAGTAATCTGAACTCAATCAGAAAGTGGTGCGTCTTCACACCAGTGCTTTGAAAAGACCAGTGGTCAAATGCCTGCTCGCCCTAAATAGTGTGGGTAACACTTCTATGAATGTCACCTTTGTAAGCATCTATAAACACATTTATAACGTTATAATGTATTCATAAGGCATTATAAACATGGTTATAACTATATATAAAAAAGAATTACACTGAATTACACTTGAATTACACCATGTTTATTATACATTATGAATTGTTAATATAATGCATTATAAATAGTGTTAATAACATGTTATACTGTCAGTGCCAAAGAAGTCAGTTCCAGCTTGGAGAGTGTAAAGTAAAGACAAATACCAGGCTAACGGTGGTGTACATTGCCTTTCCCACATTGGGTAAAACACTGATGGCAGCTCTAGTTTAAACTCTGACATTTGAAGCCTGTAATGTGCTTTACTGTGAATGTTTTAGTGTTTCAGTAAATCCTTCAGTAAATACTTCAACTTGAAGCCTCACTCTGAACACTGGAGGAGGCTTTAGTACAGTACGCTTCACTTTACTTAGAGTGGACTAATACGACTTATGAGCTCTTATAATTTGTTATGATCAGTACTTATAATGTATTATGTTAACAATTCATAATGCATAATAAACGTGGCTATAATGTATAATGCATTTTTATAAATATATATAGCTATGTTTATAATGTCTTATGCATACATTATAACGTGTTTATAGATGCTTACAAAGGTGACATTCATAGAAAGTGTTTTTTTTATTTATTTATTGATATTGTTTCTGTACAGTCACATAACTTTTCATCCATTACAGTGTTCCAAGTCACCATCCCCGAGATGCCCTGCACCTGTCCGTTATTTCATCATGAAGAGCAGTAACCTTAGAAATATTGAGCTCTCCCAGCAGAGGGGCATCTGGTCCACTACGCCCAGCAACGAGCACAAACTCAACCGAGCCTTCCAGGAGAACAGCGTGGTCTTTCTCATCTTCTCCGTGCAGGGCTCCGGACACTTTCAGGTGCATCTTATGAATCAGAGCAGATAGAGTTTGTCATTCTACAGTATTGGTGAATTGGATTTGAACCTCGGTGGGCTGTTTTGATATGAGTGGCCTTTTTCTGTTTTGCTTGTAAAGGAATGTTCTCCTGGTTCTTCAGAAGGGTTCTGATTCTTCACTTGGTTGGTTGTGAATTATGCTGGCCACACTGCTTACCTCGAAATGAGGCTCTGGAAATGGTTTGCTTAGAAAATTATTAGAAATAATTAGAAGCATATTTGTTTCAGCATATTATGCATATTGTGAATATTATGAATATTGCAGAGCTGCAAAAAGTCACAGCACTGTTTGACTGTTTCTCTTTAATTGGTTAATTATATTTGATGTACTGAAATCCTCACTGGTTATGCCACCCCTCCAAATACAGGTGTACAGTTTTTTTGCCAGTATTGGGGACTGTACCGAATCAACATTGTTATAAAATCTCAGATATAGCTGCTTTTCTCACATCTCCAGCAGGAAACTTTTCCACAAAAGTAGAACAGTTTCTTGTAAAATTTCTCTTAACGTTCAATTTTTTACGAGGCTGAAGTCGCTTCTCATTCGCCAGCTGCTTGTTCTAATTTTCCCGTTCCACCTTAAATGGTGCCTGAGGCACCAGAATCTAGCTAACTATGCAGCTAACTGTTGCACCATTTAAGGTGGAATGTAAAAAAATTCAAACGAGAAGCTGGCGAATGAGAAGCGACTTCAGCTTAGTGACTTTTTAGTGTTTGTCAGTTTCTCGTTGCAGATTAAACGTATCAGGAAACCAGATGGAGTGATTATAAAAGTCCATTCGTCTCTAAATTATCAATGTTCGTCTTAAATCTTTCTCTTTACTTACTAACTAGGCGAGATTGTTGTCCGTGTTGCTATAGTGACCAGCAGTCCATCCTCTCTGGTTATGGCACCCCTCGAAATACAGGTGTACAGTTTTTTGCAGTGAATTAAGTGCCAGTATTGGGGACTGTACCGAATCAACACTGTTATAAAATCAGGCTATTTTAAAATGTAAAATTAAAAGAAAATTTGACGTGTTTATTCTATATTCCACTACTGTGTAGATACATCACTTAACACATCCTCTACAGAGAACACATTTCAGCAGAGTTTACTGTTTACTTGCTGAATATAACACATTAGGGAAAAATACACACAAAAAGTTACAACACGTTTTATATTTTGCTTTATTTTTTTCCAATATGCCAAATTTAGCAAATAAATAGACATTATGCACTAAAATATGCAGAAAACCAGTGTGTGTTCCCTGTAGAGGATGTGTTAACTTATTTTTACTTAGAAAATCAACAAAACGTGACTTTTGACCGAGGGGTGTTCAAAGTTTTGCATGTGACACTGTCACATTTATGGATTTGTTTGAAGTTTAGAAATAATTCGAAGAAATAATAATTAATCATTATACAAAAAATACCTCGGTCAAATAGTGGTGGAATTTGAGACTTCATGATGCACTGAATCATTTAAAAAAGAATCATAATCAAATTGATTCATTGTGAGTTCAGAGATTTAAACAGATTCTCTCTCTCTCTCTCTCTCTCTCTCTCTCTCTCTCTCTCTCTCTCTCTCTCTCTCTCTCTCTCAGGGCTATGCTAGGATGAGTTCAGAAATTGGTTCAGAGCGCTGTCAGGACTGGGGGTCCTCTGGGCTGGGAGGGGTCTTCAGGGTGGAATGGATCCGTAAAGAGAGTCTCCCCTTCCAGTTCACGCACCAACTACTCAACCCCTGGAACGACAACAAGAAAGTGCAGATCAGCAGAGATGGACAGGTGAGGTCCAAACCTAGAAGCCTTCCTGAGTGGTTGAGAGCTGATCTCAGTTTTACTTTTTCAGCACCTTTTAAATGCAGTCAAATAAATGAGATGGAAAGGAATTAAACGGTCAAATAAATCAATATGAGAAGAAATAAAGGGAAAAAATTACATTTACAGACTTTGGCAGACACTTTTATCCAGAGCGACTTGCAATTTGATTTTTACACAGGTAGGTGAAGGTGGTGTTGGGAGTCTTGCCGAAGGACTCTTATTGGTATAGCATAGGGTGCTTACCCAGGTGGGGGATTAAATCCCAGTCTACAGCATAGAGGGCATGCTGTCCTATGCGGATCTGGACTCATAGCTGATAAACTATGGAGATTTATTTAATTTTGACAGGGTGGTCCTGTTTTAATCGGCGGAACTTTTCTAGTCTTTACTGTAGCTTTAGCGGCCCGGGAGACTCACAGACCAATCACATGCGTTGTAAATGTCACACGTGACGCTACTCAGCCAATCAGATCTGTGCATTATGATGGGCTTTGAGCCTCGAGTGAGTGACGCACACACAGGGGAGGGACGAGGCGAGAAACAGCAGTCAGAGAAAGAAGTGAGTCAGATTATTTCACATGACGTTCTCTAAAAAGAGAAAACAGACAATAAATGGTGTTGAAATATGACTGAATTGTACTTTATTTGATTTGATATTCAGTTGTTGACTGTATAAGATGTTTATATTCCTACTAGGCTACTTCAGTAAACAGTATATGGCACTGAATCATGATGCAGGTTAGACGTTATGATGTTCTGGACCTTCGCTTGAGGAAATTTTCTTTGACTGGACCTTATTGAATTTTAATTAAATACCCCTGCCCTACACTATACCAACCACAAAAAAGAATCATAGATACATGCAAGACGGATAATAACACAGTATTTAGTTTAAGGCTGAAGTAGACCTATTATATTGCCTCGTTTTGACACGACCTTTAATGCCTCAGCATACTTCTTGCGGAGACGACGTTCGTCTGGCATAAGCAAAGCAAAGCAAAGTTTATTTCTATAGTGCTTTTTACAACAGGTGTTGTCACAAAGCAGCTTTACAAGGAAATCAGCATTACAGAAAGAAATCTGGGTCCAAGCCCCCATGAGCGTCGCCAGTGGCGATAGTGGCAAGGAAAAACTCCCTAAGAGAAACAGGAAGAAACCTTGAGAGGAACCAAGACTCAGAAGGGGAACCCATCCTCCTCTGGTCGACACCGGATAGTAAACATTGTTAGTATAAAGTATTATAGTACAAAAACGGGAAAAAACAGGTGGAGCAAATGATTAATTTGATTAGTTTAGTTCATGCAGCAGCAGCAGCAGCATCAGTGGGGTCAGGTTGTGAGGGTGAGGTTTGCACAGCGAGCAGTGGAACCCGATCAAGGCAGAAGAGGCAGCAGCATCAGAACGCAAAGGATGGACAGCTGTTCAACTCGGCAAAGGAAAGAAAGAAAGGAAAAACACACAGAGTCAGTTCTGTAATGGGTGATTGATTAATTTGATTAGTTTAAATGATTGATTAGTTCAAATGATTCATTTTGATTAGTTCATGCAGCAACAGCAGCAGCATCAGTGGGGTCAGGTTGTGAGGGTGAGGTTTGCACGGCGTTGTACAGCAGGAGGCTCAATGGTGGTAAGCCGGTCCATATAAGTGTACAATATGACGTAACTGTGGAGAAAACGAACAGCCGCAAACGTCGTGCGGAGGCTTCATTCCCCGTATCGCGCACATGGCTGCTGGGCGAACGCAAAAAAGCCTCTGATTGGTTGGGAAAAAAGAGGCGTGCCATGAAACAAAGATGGACGACTTTAAGAAGCTTCGTTTCACAAGAAGTACTCTGAGCGCTTTGGCAGACGCACCAATATTTCACTGTGAAATGCGATGTTAAGTCTATTATTCAGTAGTACTAATTAATGCTAAGTACCAAATATACAGGTTCTCTATATATTTAGGTTCATAAGAGGTCAAGGCTGAAGTTGGCTTTCTATTTGCCACCTTCTTGTTCGAATTTTCCCGTTCCACCTTAAATGGCGGCAGCATTCTGGATTCGTACGTCACCATAGTGCCATAGAACTGTGATAGAATCGTTTTCCACTAGTCATGAAACTTATACAATGTCATAGCATCACCTGCATTAGTGGAGCATGATCCGCTCAGACCAGCGCAACACACTAACACACCACCACCAATATACCTGCTCTGTGAGGGTCCATGGGGGTCCTGACCACTGAAGAACAGGGTAAAAGGGGGCTAACAAAGTATGCAGAGAAACAGATGGACTACAGTCTGTAACTGTAGAACTACAAAGTGCACCTATATAGTAAGTGGAGCTGATAAAATGGACAATGAGCGTAGAAACAAGGAGGTGGTCATAATGATATGCCTGATCGGTGTTCATAGTGTTTCAGTTTCTTTTTGCTCATAAACATCACTCATTGCTCCTTTAAGCCCTGGTGCAGATTGAGGCCATTCAGGCTCCTCCAGCTGTAAACGTCAGTTAGAGTTGCTTGTGGTCACGGATGTGCATGTTCAAGGGCAGGACTCTTGAATTTCACTGTCGTGATCGCCAAACAGCTTAGAAATCCGATGTGTTTTTGAGATGCTTTTACAAAAGCAGAGCTATTTATGATGTCTTTTTTCTGAAGGTCTGCTGGACACAAAGCTTTGTTGTTGAAGGGCATTTTTTCTACCACAATACAGTAAGTGGGTCACTCCATTTACTCTGACGAAGCAGCGCATGTGAAGGAGGCCTTCTTATCGCGGTCTCTGGGTTTATGTTCTGGACACAGGTTAATCCAAGAACAGTGAAGCGTGTGCTTTGATCACCAAATTAAGACTAAACTTAATCATTAAACTGCAACTGCAGACAATTTAATGCAGTAACAGTGTAACAGTGGCTTTGACCGGATGCATCCATTCATATTTAGATGTGTATTGAGTAGGATTTATTTATGGGAGCACCGACAATAAATTTTTAGGCCAGATTGTGATTTCTTTTACGGCTAAATTGGCCAATGGCTGATTCTTTTGGGGCGATTTTATTCGAGACTATTTCTCAGTCTCATTTCTTCTTTTTACCCTTACCACTTGTTTTTGAGTGTCACCCTAACCCCTTGGAACTGAGTTACAGGATAGTGGTTGAAATCTTCCCTCTGAATGGGACCCTCAAATAAAAGGGCATTACTTCATTAACAGCTACCAGCGCTGCTCTGTAGGCGACCCTGCCAGTCTGCAGTGACAGCAGAGGAGGGTAAAGTTCAGCTCCTCACTGCTGGGCTTTAGTTACATTTAGGGCATCATATGCCTTCAAAGAGGGGGGCAATTATGTATTACCCACCCCTAATTCTTCAGTGATATGAAGCTGAAGTCAGATATTCACCAGCTTCTTATTCGAATTTTCCCGTTCCACCTTAAATGGTGCAGCAGTTACATTCTGGCACTTCAGGCATCAGAACTGCTGGACTATTTAAGGTGGAACGGCAAAGTTAGCTAGCCAGCTACCGACACATTAGCATGCTAGTAGTGATTTTTTTTATGCTTGTTATGAAGAAAACGTCCATAATACACTGAAACGACATTAAACTAAGATAATACAGTGGTTATCGTAATTTTTTAACAGAGAAAATTCTCACATTTGTGGGTTTCTTTGGTCTCCTGTTCAGCCATCTTGCCGGTTTTTCTTTTTTTCCTCATATCACTCTGTTTGGAGTCTCTGAAAAACCTCAGTTTGGAGGGCTGTGTAGCCCTAACACTTCACCCTACCCCTCTATCTCAACAAGAATTGGGACACCCTACCCCTAGGCGTGAACGCGCAAAACAGAGGGCTAAGGGCTCAGTGTTAGGGGTGCAGGGTGAAATGGGACTGGGCCCAAGTCTCACGCCATGTGGGGTAAATGAACACATTAAACACACTAGCACATTTCCAGTGCTTTTTACTAGCCAAATTTGCAGCATCCAAATTATTTACTGGCATTTTAAACTGACTAATCAGTTTGATCAGTTAAATCAGCCTGTTTGAGTAATATGAATCAAATAAAGTGCTACCTTGAAAGTAAGTTGTAACTGGCTGTTCAGCGCAGTGAGTCATGCATAATTATGCTACAACATTTCATGTGATTTATGTCGTAAAATTGCAACACAGATCAGCCAGAGTAAAAACTATGAATTGGCTGATTGTCCATTTTATGTTTTGAGCAAATATCTGACAATTCCAGTCTTGGTTGATTCCAGTTGTGCATCCCTGATTTATATACAGCATTGTGGAAAAGACCCTTTTGTTTTTTCCAATTATCATTTCAATGTCAGAAACAATTTTACAGAAAATTTAATTTAATTAAGTTTAACAGAAAATTATTCTAAAGTCTCCGACACCAAGTATATCAAATCTCTCAGTATTTAACTTGTCCACTGTTTACGTTTGTGCACCCTACTGCCACTTTAAAGGGGAACTCCACCGATTTTTCAAACTTTCTGCATAATTAAACGATTGAAATGTAAACAGAGTCATTCAGAGTGGTTTGGTGTGAAACGCTCAGTTCTAGAGAAGCTGACCGAGTCAGAACTGTTCACAGTGGTGGTGATAGGAACCAGACGTCCACCTCTAAAAGCTCCCTCACAGATTTATGGAAACAACATTCCATATAAACTCAGAAGACTCGTGTAGGTTCACTGGTGGTTTTGGATAGTAAATAAAATGTCTATATTTGTGTTGTAGTCATGGCGACCCCTGGTTCCTATCACCACCACTGTAAAGACATCTGAACCATTTCACACCAAACCATTCTGAATCTCTCTGTTTACATCTCGAACACTATATTATGCGAAAGCGAATCGGTGGAATTCCCCTTTAACACTTCTATCAGTTAAAGATAGTTAAAGCTTTCATCTCTGAGACACAGAAGAAGCAGAAAATGCAACCAACTTTTAAAGACTGGATTTTGAAAAACTGAAAGCAAGAAAAGAAAAGAATGGCAGCTGTAATAAAAACAAAGGGTGAACACACTGAATAATGACAAATGAGATTATGTGGCTGTTGAGGCTTCCGTGTCATTTTCTGTTAAATATGGTTGTTTTTTTCTGACACTGACACAGTCATGCCTTCAGCTTCATGGGTGTTTTGACTGGAAATTAAATAAAAGGAAAGGGTGGCCTTTGACCTCTGCTCAGTTCTGTATATCGCTGCTGTCAGAAGAAAACCTTGTATCTCCATTTTAGTTGTTTTTCAGTTTTTGACATAATTTGAAAATACCTGTTGTTCTTTACATTGTGCGTAAATTTCATGATGAATGGACCAACAGAAATGACCCAAAATGACTAGGAAAAAATTCTGGTTCCATTGACTTACATTAAAAGTAAAGTATATTTTTTCCTTCTCCCTTAAAGTTACCATTTCGGAGATAGGAGGTTTTCTGCCGACAGCAGCGGTATGCATGTAGTACCAGCCAAATCAGTGTCTTGTGGATGTAGGAGAGTAGTATTGATATATTGTCAATAATTAATTTAATAAATTTTCACAACTGTCATTACTAATTTAATACGATTACAACTATTGGTCATTTAAACTGAATGTACAAAAAGCTGCATTGCTTAATTAACCCTTTGATTAGTATTTATTATTTAGTATTTTAGTATGTAGTATCTAGTAGTATTTACGCTTTGTTACGTCACAGTAACCTTTTGTTCTAGAGCCTATATGTTTTTTTTGTTTGTTTGTTTGTTTGTTTTATTTTGTTTCTGTTCATTAGATTCTGAAATCATGCTTATTTTTATGTCTCTTGCTGGTGTGCAGGAGCTGGAGCCACAGGCTGGGGCGCAGCTGCTACAGCTGTGGGATCGCATCTCCACCAAACAGCAGCATGAGGTACGTTGCCCTTGACTGGAGCTTAATCTGGTCCTTTGACAAAACACAGTAATTCATGATTGCAGTAATTTACCTTTTAGCTCTTAGAGGTCACAGTGATCACCTGTGATAGGAGAGGATAAAAAAAAGTGCTAATATTAATTCATTCACGTTCAGAAATTCTTAGGAAAGTGTGAATTCTAAAGCTGTGTTTACACAGCTGGTAAAAGTGGCCCAAATCTGATTCTCTCACCAAATCCGATATTTTGTTTGGCTGTTCACGTTATCTTTTAAATGTGATCTGTATGCGACATCAGTCTGAACAGATCAGCTCCTAAACTGACCCACATGCGCAAAAGAACAGAGCGTCACGCTGCTTCACGGCTCATCCTGAGGTAAACAATCACGACTGCCAACGAGCGCCAGTCGCTCCCGGAGGATCAGCTTCATCTTCACCAGCATCACAGGAGCCATCATGAAGCTTCACTGACTGACAGCTGGGCTCATCACCCAGAATGTGTTCGAGCTCGCTGTAAAAAGGGCGCGGTCACTTCTTTGGTTCACGTCCTCGGATTTTTAAACTTTGCTTTCAGACTTTAAACTGTTCTTTGACGCTGCAGCCTCGTTCTCCTGCGGCCGCGTTCGGACATTTCTTTCAGAATCTCTTCAAACACTGAGAGTTTTGGATAAATCTCTTCTAATTTTTTGTACAGAAATATCAGCTCAAATGTTTAGGAGTCTCAGCAGCGCAAAATTATGATGAATGTTGAGTTGGATTGACGTAAAGGCCACACGAATTCCGATCTGGCTGTTCAGACTGAGTCGCATTGCCGCAGATCGGATACGCATCAGATTTCAGTACCACACATGAAAGCGTCTCAAATCGGAATTGAAAATGTCAGATTCAGTGTGTTTATCTGTTCACACTGACACACAGACTCACATCTGTGTCACACATGAGGAAAAAGATCGGATTTGGGCCACTTTAACCTGCTGTGTAAACAAAGCCTAAACATACCACGTTTGGACATTATTATTATTTGAAGTAGTTACAAGTTATTGATGTTTGTCAGCCTTCTTAACCAGTAAAGGGGGTCAGAGAAAATCTAAATCTGTGGGCCAGAGACAAAAAGTTTTGATATCATTTTTAATTAATGTTGTGCTGTAACCCGAACTGATCATTGTTTATTCAAAATACGCAAAAACTTAAGCAGTAATCGAGGTGATCGACTTGTAGTCGACCTTGAAATATTACATGGACACTTGAAATATTAAAAATTTAAATGTCTACGTATTTGCTTGAACTAGACACCTGACGTCCTTTCTTCACTGCATGTTCATTAATACGTGGGCTCAGTTTCTGAGCTGAGCTGACGTTGAGTGTTTATGTTGATTGAACTGCAGCTGAAATGCACTTTGGTGATATGACTGGTATGGAATTGCACAGAATTGTGTAGAACTGAGGTGTAACTGCTGTGCCACAGATTGTTGTCGGGGTAGGAGAGTCGGAGCACATTACGTTGCAATGCATGCTGGGGACTGTAGTGAAGTACACTGTGAAACGGGCTAATATTAATAGAAAATTAAAATACTTTTGTGGGCCGGATAGGATCATGGCCTGATCTGGCCCGCGGGCCTTGTGTTTGACACATGGGCGTTAAGGATATTCAAGGGAACAGTTGAAAGATCTAACATCAAAACCTTTCCATTTTTCCAGCTTTGAAGGAAGATGTTGATGCCACTGCTGTGGACTGTGACCTCATGTACCTCATCAACACTCCAAGCGAAGCATAGTAAACAAAGGACTTCTGCTGCATTTTTCAGCCCAGTCGACGTGCCGCATTTGTAGCATTTGATCGAGTACCATGTGCAATAATTTAGAAAACAGAAAACCTTAAAAAGATTTAAAATATACTAACAGAACAGATGTTTCAGCATTGGCTGCCCATTGGCTGCTACTGTAAATGAATTTAAAGTCAACAGATTTTCTGTTCTCTTTTAGTGGAAAAGCGTCAACATTGTATATGTGGCAGTTGACCAAATGCTACAGATGTGGCAGGTTGAAAACAGATAAGGCTGAAAAACACTGGAGTATTCTTTTCACGTTTTCAAAAGGTACGCAACTCTAGTTCTAGACTCAAACACATTTCGTCCTCCTATCCTGTACCAACCCATTTTTCATGCTGCGGGGCCAGTTTTTATGTGCACTGTTTTACTTGCTGTGCAATTGTTCCTTTGCTGTCTATGATGGCTTGCACAGACACGAAATAACACTAATGTTGCCAAGTTTCTTGTTATAATGTGAATTCTACCAAGTATGTTTAGTTGACCCATAGAGATTGTTTAGCATATTTAAATGAACATATTAAGCATATTTTAATATGTGAAATGTGAGTCAAAAGGGAAGAAGCTCCATATATAAAACAAATTAACTTGTAAAGAACTGAAAATGGTGCGCGGTCATTCCCTTAAGTGTCATGTAGAAGTGCAAGATGTGAAATCATTAATCTGTGAAGAATCTCACTGAGAATGAAGGAAAAGGTGGTCATCACTGGCTGGACCGCTGTATACTTCGTCTCTGTTCTGCCTGTTTATTTTACGTTTAAGCTCCTGGAAATACGCAAGTTATGGGTAAGATTTCTCTCTCCCTTTTCCCTCTTTTAGATCATTTTGTTCATTGATTCATTACTTGAGCTTGGGAGAAGAGTCATCGACTTGATATGATATGCAGTGTTTGCCTGTTTTTATGGCAGAATTCAGGTTAATTGAAATAATTTAATTGTTCATAATAAATAAAGTTTCTTGTTCATTTCAAAATCGGTTTTCTCTCCCTGTCTGAGTTTTGTCCCTTTTTAGAGACCAACCTTCATTTTTTTAATTTCTACTTAAAACAGCCACTAAGTTGTTCGTTTTCAGGAGATATTTCTTCCATAAGGAAGACAGTCAAAAGAAAATAAGTGAAAAAAACAGGAATTTCCAAAACTGGAATGCTACAGAGAGAATAGGGGTGTTTTTACACTCGGACCGTTTCAGCATCTCAAGTGGACTCCTGGTTTTCTGACATCAAACGAACTCGAGCTACTCTAAACTGTCCCAAAAATAAAAAAAATAAACTGAACTTGGAGCACCTGTCGAGGTGGAATCAGTATGGATCATTTGTAGTTTGTTTTGTGGTCAGACGGTTCGAGTTGTTTTGCTTTATGGATCAAAGACCTCAAAGCTCACAGTACATACCCAGCCTCAGTCTTCCAGCACTTTAGTAGGTAAAAACAGACCAAAGGTCAAATACAGGGTGATTCAAAAAGATTCACCTGATTTCAAAATGATTTATTTCACTTGTAAATCATTACAGATCAGTGCAGTGAACTGTAAATGGTTTAAATGAGCATAAAGTTTATTATGTAATTGTACAAGGTCTCAATATGAACCTCCTCCAGCTGTACGGACAACATCAACACCATAGTCATATTCATCCCATACTGGATTGAGCATGTCGGGTGTCGCTGCACTCACGGCTCTTTCAGTGCGATTTCGGAGATCATCCAGTGTTGTGGAACCAACGACGAACGCTCTGAGCTGTTGGAGCTTCACTGCCCACGAAAATCACACTGCGCAGTTATGACGGATTCACTCTTATTGAAGTGAACACAGAACGCTTTCTGCTCAGGGGTCTCCATCTCCTCCCAGACTGAAGGGAGCCAGTCAGACACTCTATGACCCCCTCTTTCAGTTGGATTGTGATTGGTTCCTAGGCGCCTTACGGTTGTAAAAATATGGTGCCCTGTATAATGTACAATTCAGGATAAAGCCTATCTGTGACTTCGCGACGAGACAGCAGGGCTGACATACTACAACAAACAGATGCAAGAGCCTGTGTGATTTTACTGCGTGGCTGATTCGTTCAAGCTGCTTTCACACTGAAAGCTTAACATTTACCACTGCGGTTTTCTGTGCTTTTCAACAGGACATTCAAATGTTTTCAACTTCGGCCAAGTCTCAGCATAGCCAATAGGAGAGCTGTAGACGTGTCTGGCAGTGTGAAAGCAGTTTAAGCCCCCTGCCTAAATTGAAATCAGTGTAACTCAGAGGAAAGCTGGAAAACTGGGAACTGTTGGAATATTTTACCATGGGGTCAAGTGTATACGATAAACAACACTAAAACACTGAAAACCTAAAATTTGACATTTCCTAGGTGGGGTCTGAGTTCTAAAGGAGTTTTGGCGTGAAGAAGTGATCTCGTCAGTGCTAAAAAGGACCAGAAAGAGAAGTGGGTCCCATGTAAAGCACTGAGGTCACTAGCAGCTGGTTTCATTTTTACAGGACTGAGTTTGGTTCATTTAAAATAGAACGATGTGTGAATATACCCTAGGACTCCTAACAACCACCTGGAAGACCTGGTGGACGCCAAAACTGTCCCCCAAAGCTTTCATCTTTAGTGATGAAATTAAGCTCCACTCTTGCTTCAGATCTGAAAACATCCACAGGTGTTTCTGTCCAGAAGACAACTCAGCACTATGGGTCTGAAAGGATGTGTAGCTGTTCAAGAAGAACCTCACTGAGAAAAGGAGACGGACAAAAAATAAGCAAACAAAAGCTGCTGGTGTTCCCAGAACAATGGACTGACCGCCTCAGAGTCCAGACCTCAACTTCAATGAATGTGTTTGGGGTTTTATGGATCAATGAAATCTAATCTCTGCAGATTTCCATGAAAAACTGAAAGCAATTCTGAAAAGAATGAAGTCTTTAATAGAGGTAAAGGTTGGGCACACTAGGTATGGAAAATATCTGATATAATATTCAGTGACTTACATAAAGGCAAGGCAGATGCAAGAGCATTTTTATTTGCTATATACTGTATTTACACTCCATGCAGATTGTACAATGCATATTTTCAAATGATAGCATAACGAACCACGTCATTATTATTGCAGCCTAACATGAATAGAGCTACAATAACTTTCTTCAAACAGCATCAAACAGAATCGTAGTGTGTGTAACAGATCTGATTGTCTCAGTATGCCATCGTCTGTGACCTTGTGATGTTCACATGCTGTACATGATAATTCACTCTGTGTATGTATGCGTGAGCTTTAACCAGGCACTGTGAGTGGTCAGTGTAGTACAGGAGGTCAGTATGGACTCCTTGCCCTGCCGGATTGGAGCATGCGCAGAAGAAGCTCTCCTCGTGACGTTCCCAGTAAGTTGCCGTTCCGCTCAGCCTGCTCTTCGGCTTTGTTCTCCTGCGTACACTCTGGATCCAGCGTGCAGCCCTCTAGACACGTACATGAACATGTGTGATAGAACCTTGGTGAGTACAGTAACTGAGCAGATGGAGACAATATATACAGACAGCATCTACACCGGTCAGGCATGACATTCTGACCACCTCCTTGTTTCTACGCTCGTTGTCCATTTTATCAGCTCCACTTAATATATATGTGCACTTTGTAGTTCTACAGTTACAGACTGTAGTCCATCTGTTTCTCTGCATACTTTGTTAGCCCCCTTTTACCCTGTTCTTCAGTGGTCAGGACCCCCATGGACCCTCACAGAGCAGGTACTATTTGGGTGGTGGATCATTCTCAGCATTGCAGTAACACTGACGTGGTGGTGGTGTGTTAGTGTGTGTTGTGCTGGTCTGAGTGGATCAGACACAGCAGTGCTGCTGGAGTTTTTAAACACCTCAGTGTCACTGCTGGACTGAGAATAGTCCACCAACCACAAATATCCAGCCAACAGCATCCTGTGGGCAGCGTCCTGTGACCACTGATGAAGGACTAGAGGATGACCAACACAAACTGTGCAGCAGCAGATGAGCTATCGTCTCTGACTTTACATCTACAAGCTGGACTGACAAGGCAGGAGTGGACAGTGAGTGGACACAGTGTTTAAAAACTCCAGCAGCACTGCTGTGTCTGATCCACTCGCACCAGCACAACACACACTAACACACCACCACCACGTCAGCGTTACTGCAGTGCTGAGAATGATCCACCACCAAATAGTACCTGCTCTGTGAGGGTCCATGGGGGTCCTGACCACTGAAGAACAGGGTAAAAGGGGGCTAACAAAGTATGCAGAGAAACAGATGGACTACAGTCTGTAACTGTAGAACTACAAAGTGCACCTATATAGTAAGTGGAGCTGATAAAATGGACAATGAGTGTAGAAACAAGGAGGTGGTCATAATGTTATGCCTGATCTGTGTACATTTTTAAAATATATTTCTAAATCTATTTTTTTGGGTTTAATTCCATTCTGTTCTGTTGGTTCAGCTTCTGAACTGCTTGGTTCATATTCATTTTGGAGCTTTAGGATTTCATTGTACACCAAAAAGGGAAGAATAGAGCCTAACAAGCGTGACGTTGGGTGTCTTTCTACTGATGTTAGTGCACAATTCCTGTTTATTTGCTGGGTCTGATATATTGGGGGGAAATGTAATATAAAATGAGACATAACTTTTACAGATGCCACATTTTATGTTTATTTTTTTCCCCAATCTGCACAGCTCTGCATATAAACCCTAGTTGTGCATTAAAAATGTGCGGACTGTCGTTTGACCAGGGGTGCCCAAAGTTTCACATACTGTATCTGTTTTTTGCCATCAGCAGATACATGAAAAATACTGTATTTGCATCAGCTAAAATTCCTGTATCCATGCATCCATGACCTGGATGCCACTGCACAAGTCTGAGTTACTACAGCACACCTTATACAGAAATATCTTTCTTTTATTTTCTCTAATACAAGTTAGTATAGTATGTCTTATGCTTTCCTTTGGTCTAAGTTTAAAGGAGAAGTCCACTGATTTTTTAAAATTTCTGTCAAATAAATTATTGAGATGTAAGCAGAGTCATTCAGAGTGGTTTGATGTGAAATGGCTCATTGCAGAGAAACGTCCTGAGATTTCTTTACAGTGGTGGTGATAGGAACCAGTGGTTGTCATGTCAGCAGCACAAATATAGCTGTTTTATTTACTATCCAAAACTACCAGTGAACCAACGTGTGTCTTCTGAGTATTTATATGTAATGATGATGGTGAAATAGTGGTAAATCTAGAACTTTAGAACACTTAGAACTCTGTGCTTATACCTCTCCACCGCTGTAAAAATGATCTGGTTCCTATCCCCGCCACTGTGAACAATTCTGACTCTTGTTTCTCCAGAACAGAACATTTCACACCAAACCACTCTGAATGACTTTGTTTCCATCTTTAAGTTTGAAAAGAGACAAAAGGAAGCCCACCTGAGTGGCAGCACACTCCAGGCGCAGCGCAGCGGCCCTCCTCTGCCCCACACGGCTTTCCTCCAGCCTCACACGGAGAAGGCAGGTAGTCTTCCTCTGAACAGCGGGCAGTCTCTGGAGAGCCCATGAAGCAGCCCAGTCCCTCCCCACAGCAGATACTGGGGCCAAAGCAGCGGCCCTTCCCTCCGGGACCACACGCCAGACACTGAAAGTGGACACAATCAGCTGCTGAGAGAAGACTACACGTTTTGTCTTTTGTATCCAGTGGCACACTTAAACCCTTAAACCCTAAGGGTCAGTGTGTGGGTCAATTCCTCAGTGCATAACTTACATTAGCTTCATAGTGGTTAGTAAATAATGTATAACGCTTACTGGGTAATGAGCAGCAAATGGTACCAAACGGCGCTGCTAACCTTGCCGAAATGGCACTTTTAGTGAAGTATTTTTTGTGCGTAATGGTGGAGGCGCCACTTTACGCACGGGCCGTTACGCACAAATAATCTCCCCTCTCTTTGCGATTGCGCTCGAGTCTTCGTAATCCTGCAGTCCTGACTGATGACCTGAGGTGAAAT